CCGGGGAAAGCCATTTCTAACAGAGGGAATATGATGTGCCCAGGGCAGTGTCCAGACACAGTGTGACATTGTTTGAAGTGGGAAACTCATTGTGACTAGCTAGAGCCTGCGTGGGAGGAGTTGGCAGGAGATGAGGCTATGGAAGTAGATCGGGGCCTGATTATAGAGGACTAACACATTTAAATTCATCCTGTAGACAACAGACAAGCCACTGGAGTTTTTTGAGCCAGAGAGCAATAAGATTATTATTATTTTCTTTCATTTTTATCATGATTTGACCCAAAGCTTGGTAGGACAGAATTACAACAAAGGAAATACTGTACGACGTGACTAGAAGTGACTAATTTAAAATCCTGTAGGAGCCAACCTGACATCAAGTGTCTCTTACTGGGCCAGTTCACAGCCTGTCTCTATCTGACTGTTAGATTTATGTCTTAGAAATTCTGATGGCCATATGGAAAATGGACTGCAGTGGGGAGAGATTAGTCCTAGGGAAATGAATGGGAGGTAAGAAGTATGCAGCAATAATATAAACTTAGCACATGATCCAGCAATCCCACTTGTAGCTATTTACCCAAGAAAAGTAATATATGTTCACACAATTACCTGTACATGAAGGTTTATAGCAGCTTTATTCAAAATCATCAAACATTGGAAGCAGCCCAAATGTCCATGAACTGCTGAATGGATGAACAAGTTGTGATATATCCATAACATGGAATAAAAGGAATGAACTACACTACTGAAACACAGTTACACAGATAAATCTCAAAAGCACAATGCTAAGTGAAAGAAGCCACTCTTAAAGGCTAATACTGTATGATTTCATTTATTTGACTTTCTGGAAAGGCAGAGATCAGATCAATGATTGCTGGTGGGATGGGAGTGAGAATTGACTCTAAGGGGCATGGGGAGTGTCTATGATAGAATTGTTCTATAATTGTGGTGGTTGTTAAACAACTATATACATTTGTTTAAACTCATCAAACTACAATTTAAAAGGGTGAATTTTGTTGTATGTAAATTATACAGTAATTTTATTATCTCAATAAACTTGTTTTAAGACAAGAAACAGTGATAGTTTCTCTGAAACTATGAATCTCAGAAATGCTAAATGAAAGAAGCCAGACTCAAGAGAGTATATACTGTATGCTCCCATTTATGACATTCTAGAATGGACAAAATGAATCCATGGTGAAAGAAATAAGAATAGTGATTATCTGGGGGTGTGATGAGGGAAAGCAGGGTATTTACCGGGAAGGGGCATGGGGGATCTTTCTGGGGGTAATGGAAATGTTTTTTGTGGGTTGATATGATGTGGATTACATGGATGTATCCAATTGTCATCCCTCATCAAATTGTACACTTAAGATCTGTCCTTTTCATTATATATGAATTATATCTCAAAAGGGAATATAGAAGACTGGATTAAAGTGAAATAGAGAAGAGATCTGGTAATGTGTAGGATTTGGGAGGTGATGAAGAGAGTGTTTATAGCTTTGGAGACTGGTGGAATGGGTTACCATTTTCCAAGGTGAAGAGTAATGGGAAGCCAAACAGGTTTGGGAGAAAGATAACAAGTTATGTTCTGTTGAGGTTGAGTACTCGTGGGATATCCTAGTGAAGTTGTCTAGAAGGCGATTGGAGTTACGGATTTGGTGTCCAGGAGACACTTGACTAAAGATATAGATTTGAATGTCATCATCATAATATTAATTGCAGCCATGAGAATACATGAGATCACCCAAGAAGAGAAGTAGAATTGAGAAGGAAAGAGCCCTGAGGATGCCACCCTGAGCAAACCTACCAGTGAATAGCTGGGCAGAAGAGAAGGAATGAAAGGAGGAGGAGAATCAGAAGAGAGCAGTGTCCTGGAACCAAGGGAGAAGAAAGTTCCAATAAGTAAGGGGTGGTCAACAGTTTCAGATGTTTGGGCTTCGCAGTAAGGTGGTCTTCGGTGATCACAGTGAGAACAGTCACTGACTTAGACAATGGGAGCAGAAGCAAATTCTTATGGGTTGGGGAATGAATAGGCATTAAGAAGATTAAGGCAGCTAAGTGTAGATTACTTTTCAGGAAGCTGCATCCAAGAAATAGGGAGATAAGGGTACCAAGGGTAAAGCAGAGGTGGAGCGAGGCTTCTTCTCACGTAGTCACTAGAATATTTTCAAGTTTGTTTTGATTTGGCTGGGGGCTGAAGGAAATACAGCTCAAGAAAGAAAATTTTCCTAAGGAAACATTGTTGAACAGGTGGTAGCAACAGTCTTTTGAAAATACTTGCTCTTCTGCACGATGAGGACAACACAGAAGAAGAAAGAAAGTAGCTCTCAGAACGGGAAAGACCTAGCTTGCCTGCACCCTTTAATGACAGGAACACTGCTCTATCTCATCTTGGATACTGAGTTTTTGAAATTCTAGAATTTCACATTTCTGCTGCCAAAACACACAATATTAAAGGTGAAGTTTAATATTCTCAGCACAACCTACTTTTTACCTTTTAAAATCTTGAATGTCCATGGAAAAGACCAGTCATAAGTTAAAAGGGTCGTTATAAGGACTTTTGTAGCCTGCCAAGGGCCCAAATCGTTTTTCTTAAGCTGAGTTGATTATTTTAAGAGATAAACCTGATACAAATGCTGTTTTTTCATACCATTTCATACCATACCCCCCCCACACCCCCTCCAGTTCCAGCCTCTGAGGGGAGCTGGGCTTTGCACTGGGTTGTAATGCTATCCCAAACGTAGCCCACTTTTAGATGGTAGTAGGTCCAAGCCTTGTGCGCATATGGGTGTAGTCAGAGCCAGAACTGATTTTGAGATTGTTTAGCACTGACGGGTTTTATTCACCTGGGTGAAAATTTAGTTGGCACTGCAAAGGGTGTTTTCTCTCTTTGGCTTATTTTTTTTTTCTTCCCAGAATGTTAGTTCTCAGCCTTTCAACTGAGATTCTTGGAATTTGCCTCTAAATTTGGGAAATGGTCAAGTAAAAAAGTAAAAATAATGGGACTCATTGGTTGTCATTCTGATTTTAGTTTGTCTTCATTTGTGGTTGATGCTGCAAATTTGGTCACCATGTCCATCAAGCATTATTCTTACCTTGTTCCTCATACTATTATTATTAATAATATTACCATTTTATGAAACAGTGGAATCCTGTGCTCTTGCTTGTGTAATGTTAACATGGACTTGTAGATTTTGCAATTAAGTTTTTCTTTTTAAATGTCTTTTTTAGTGCTATATCACAAAAGATTTTTTTTTTTTTTTTCAGATTAAAAGGGGAATATTCTGTGGGATGATTGAAGATTAGGTAAAATATTCAGAAGAATGTACTGGCCATAAAAGTTATGAATTTGTTACCTAAAAGAGATAGGTGAAGGAGCTTTCTTTTATTTAGATTTTAAAGTACAGATAATTGATTTTTGTGTAGTTACATGATGGTAAATCCCTTCTCAGACTCTCTTTTGGTTTGTGATTAATTTTTGCAAATTAAATTGAATCCTAAAGAAGTACTATGGAAGCAGATTCATTCATGACAACTTTTCCTGAGAGAAAAACTTGAATATGATTGTCTAATCAGTGTTGCATAAATAGGAATTTTGGACATAGCAAAGTTACTGAGTATATAGGTATTGACAGATGGTGATTAATAGAGAAGATAAAGGAAATGAAAGGATGCTAAAGAAATATCAGAGAAATGATTTCCCCAAGTTCCACAGTGAATAAAGGGTAGAGTCATGAGAAGAATCCAGGTCTCTAGATTCCCCTTCTAGGATTCTTGGTCCTATATCAGACTTCCTGTTCAAAAGACAGTCTTTGGCACCATCTTTCTAGAAACTTACATTTACTTTTCTGTGTTTTTGAGAGGATTGAGAAATGGGAGAATCCTTCTTGAAGTAAAGACATCTGTTTGAAAATGAGTTTCTGGAAGATACCTCCTTGTGTTTTGTAGGTGTGAGCTGTGGCCTGTGACCTCTGGTTGAACTGTAAGGAAGCTCGTCTTTTCTCTTGGAAAGAAGATGTAGATGGTTTATTTGAGGGACACGGAGTAGGAAATTTGAGAATGAGTGGGACTTCTGAAAGTCAGATATATTTGATTTATGAATACCAAAGAGGACTGTGGAGAGGGTCTCATTAATGATAAGAGTAAAGGTTGCCAGCTGAGGTTCCAAAGTTAGTGTCGTAGTATCCTTGCATCCTGGGACAGAAGACTGCTCATGTTCTTGGTTTGCTCTTTGCAACAGTTGAAGAGTTAGGGAAGGGATTGAATCCGTAAAGAATCCAGAAACCATAGAAATTTGGTCTCTGGCTCCTTCCCCTTTTCAATGATACTAGTGATGCAGGATGGCTTGTCACAGTCCTGCTGTGTCTGCCACAGGCTCCCTCCTTTCTCTTCTGTCTTTCTATGTTGGGCCATTGTACTTTATTTTCTGTCTTCAAAGGGAAATTGAAACCATAGGAGAGGGGAAGAATACATATATTTTACACTTAGATATCTTCTTGACCTAGGCTGCAAAAGCAAGATCTTGGTTTAGGAAAATGCAATGGAAGGGCCCCAGGGAGATTCCTTCAGGAGATTTTTCTGTTTTCAGAATATGGTGGGACAATCCAGAACAAACCCAAAGCAGCTTTGATGTTGGATGCACTTGCTGTATTCCCATTCCCAACATTTTTTTTTTTTTTTTTTAATCCATATGCACAGAAGAATCATGCTTGCTAACTTTTAGAGGTCAGGTCACTTTCTGTGTAGAACTCAGGAATGTCAATAGAGTGGATGATAAAAACAGTGGAATTTTATAAATAAACATTGTTATCTCATTATCTCTAGAGCTTGATTAATTTCTCTTGAACTTGAAAGATTCTCTGCTTCTACTTCCACTCATTACTTATACTCACCAAATTTCTAAGCCTCTGGTGGGAGTTGATTGGATTCAGTCTTCCAGATTTTTGTTCACTTGTAACATAGAGAATGATCTTGTGTATTGTGTTATGTTGTATTTCTAGAACTCTATGGCTTTGATGTGCTCATAGATTCTACTCTGAAGCCATGGTTGTTGGAAGTAAATCTCTCCCCTTCTTTGGCCTGGTAAGTAGTCTGTTCATCAACTAGAAAAGGACAAACCTTCGATGAGTAGCACTAAAACACTTTTTTTAAAAGTCATTTCTCTTGGCACTAGATTTTTTTACCCTAGTTATATTAGATAGAAATGACTAGAATTTCTAAATTTGAGGGATTTGTGACATGTGGTTAACCTCCAGATGGTAACCACGCGTCCCTATCTTACTAGGCAATTTGTGATCTATAACTATCTTCTTAAGCTTCTGAGGGATGCTTCTTGTGTTCATTTTTATTTCTAGTTCTCTCTTTTTCTTTTTAACTTTGTAGATGTTCTGCTAAGGCTAAAGAAATACATGAGGTATTATATTTCCTTTATTACTAAAGGTTTATACAGGCTCAAATCCACATATACTGTAAAGGTATAGAGCGGGGCCTAGGGTAGCATATATAATATTTGGTCCTTTTACCCTTTCTATATTCTGGTCTCCATCTAAGATTAGAGTCTAAAAACTTCAAACAATCTTAAAAATTTTTTTTAACCTATCGTTTAGAAGAAGGAAAGAAACATATTTTTCAATACCAGAGAGGATTGTGCTTATACCTGCAGCTGTAGCCAGAATTTCTATTAGCCATACACTTCTCTAAACAGCTAGAGAACCCTAGAGATTTATGCTAGAGACCACCCAGCAGCTGCATTTTTAAGGATGAAAAACGTTGGCAAAATGCCAAGTAATCAAATAAAGACAGATTGACTACTTCATGGGGTGGGAGTTTGGCTTAACCCCAATAGTAAGGTATAGAGCTAGATATCACAGAGATGCTTCAGATGTTGGGCCACTCTTTTGTTAAGTAAGCTCTTTGCAGATTGCCCAGCCAGGTGCATCATAGGATGTTAGAGACCCCCAGAATGATGCATTGGTCCAGTAGCCAAAGTAATCTGGTTCATGGAGGAACACCTCAACACCAAGGCCAACATGGCAGTCACTGCCACAGGGAGGCTTCCAGCTTTCAGTTCATGTTTCTGTTTCCATGTGGGTTCCTGCTGCATCATCTGGTGATAGTTTGGTATAACTTGTATTTTTTTGCCCTCATTTTGCAAGCCTAAAAGCTTAAGAAGACTGATTTAGAACAGAAAATGAAGCCTTAAAAAAAGTACAAAGATGACCAGAGTTCCTTCTCTTGCGTGTGAATGTGATTTGACTGTTAGAGCAGTAAAAAATAATTTGAATGATGGACACACTCATAAAGGAGCATATTAAAAGTCTAAACCTCTAAAATCCGCAGTGATAATGAAGCAGTATGTGACTTGTACACAGTTTGAACTGCACAAGACCTTTTGGAGTAAAAAGATTGCATGTCAGGGAATCAGCTTTGGTGCTGGACCTGCCCTACAGAGGATGAGTTTAACAGTGGGCTTTTATTTCTAGTATTTTTGCCCAGATTTCTTTTTCTTTTTCCATGGGTTTGATGTGCTTTATGTGTTGCTTCTCATCGACGTATGGAAGCTCTCCTATATTGAGGCCCATTAGGGGTAGCTATTCTGTTAATCTATAACATTATCGATTGGCCTTTCTTTCTCTCTTCTATTAGTGATGCACCTCTGGACCTAAAGATTAAAGCCAGTATGATTTCAGATATGTTCACTGTAGTAGGTGAGTAGTAGTGTTTTCTGAAGACTCACATAAAAGTTAACCAGAGCATCCATTTTGTCAGGCTCTCTAGGTGTTGCCAACTGGCAGTTCCTAAGCCATGCTGAATGTTTTGTACTGAAAAATTATATTTTCAGGCAAGTGTTTATATGTTTCTACTCCCCCTGGCTCCATCCTGTCCTGAGGCTGAACCACAACTAGGGCTGAGACCTAATTCCTGGGGCACAGGAATTATGAGCCGAGGAAGAGAATTAAGCAAAGGTCTGGAGAAAGTCTATTTTTCTCTGAGTTGAGAGAGTGCGCCTGACTGAAGCAGCTTTGTTACAAAGGAGACTGGCTATATTTCCACTAGACGGTCTCCGCTGGTGTCAACATGGCCCCTCCTGTAATAGTTATAACTAAAGGCGGCCCGAGGAAGAAATCCCTTTCTGAGTAGATAAGCGAAAACTTTAAAAAGGAAATGGGCAGTCAGGTGGGTATATTGTGGGTTTGTTGTCATTTCCTAAGTACTCTAAAAAGGCATGACAAAATATATTCGAAATGAAATAGTACTTGGTGTACCAGCATATGCTGTAAAACTTAGCCACTCTAGTCTCCCTGGATGGGAGTCTGCTTTTTAGGAAGTGAAATGAGCACACACCTAATTTCTTAAGCCATAGATAATCTAAGAAGCCCACTTTGAAAGGTGCCAGGACACCGCCTTCAGCTGTTCTAGAAGTAGACCTTGTAACAGGACAGGACCCCTCACCTGCTTTTGGGTTCTCCCAGTAAAAACAGCATTATTTTCCAGTCACCCTCTAGGAGGCCACTTTAAAATAATTTGTTTTTATAAACAACTATGTATTTTTAAACGGTGGTTTGCACTTTTACTCTGAAGTTCATCAAAAATCCACATCTCTTTTTCAATCAGAATCAGCTCCCCAACAAGGAATGTTGATTTATCTGCATATTTTCCATTCTTGTGCTGTCCAGTTTTGATGGTTTGAAGTTCAAGTGGAGTGTGTGTCTGAGAGCCATGCCTAATCCTCCTGAGGTTGGATCTCTGTAATATTTGTGACCATGAAACTGAGTTTGTATACCTAAAGAAAAGGTACAGCTAAACCTGCTAATTTCTTAGAAAATGGCAGGTTTTAATGTTTGCCGTTCCCCATTCAGGATTTGTGTGCCAGGATCCTGCCCAGAGGGCATCAACCCGGCCAATTTATCCCACCTTTGAGTCTTCCAGGCGAAACCCTTTCCAGAAACCTCAGGTAAGCAAATTCAGCAGCAGGGAGCCCAGCAAGGCTTACTGGAAAGTGGTAGCTGATGTAAATGAGTGAGCTGAAGCACAGTGGATATGACATCACTTAGAACAGGGAATTATTTGGGGATCATTCCAGATGGGAGGCAGTTATATTCAGCTATGGCTAATAGCATATGCTTTCGATGCTTTCAAACTAACTTACTGTCTGCTTTTTGTTTTTCTTTTCTTTTGCCTTCTTTTTTCGTTATCTGTGTCCTTTTTTTCTCTTTAAGGATCACCTGCTTTTTTCCTCAAATTGATATGCTCATAAACAAGGCACAGAGAGGGAGCCTACAAATTCCTAGTCATTATTCTGCTACATTGTTTTGATCTTCAGGCTAGCTTTGTAAAGAAGATGCTCGATTGAAATATTATCTTCTCTACAAGTGCTCAGTGATCATGAGGTGTTAATTGAGGTTCAATGAGATAAATGCCTACAGAATCCTGTGCATGTCTGAATCGTCACTTGATCAAGCATTGCTCCGGTCTTTGTGTCCTCTGCATTTGTGTTCCAGTTAAACCAATCAGCTCATCGTTCTGCCTGCTCATTCCATCATCTAATCCATCCCTGCCTGTCTAGACCTGGCTAGTTTCCATGTGTGTTCGTTGCCTTTAACATTTCTTCTTATCTAAAAGGTCCACCTTCCTCCTCTCTTCCCATCTGGATTGATGACCTTGCCTGCTCAGAAGTCTAGAGACCGTTTCCTATGAAATCCATCCCATTCTATCATGACCTTTATTTTTTATTTCAATAGGACTGACTTGTTCTCTGGTGCATGGTTTTGGCATTCATCGATTTGTTGCTTTGAAATTGTCCAGTGTTCCTCTGCTAGACTGTAAGCTCTTTGAAGGCAGAAATAGCCCCTTCTTCCCCCTGCCTCCCCTTTCCCTTTCTTCTGCCCTCCATCCGTTCCTCCTCCACTTCTCCCTTCTCCTGCCACCGCTCGTTCTTCTCTTTTCCCTTCAGCTTGCTGGTCTCATTTGGAGTAGTGCTATTTCTCTCTGCCACACTCATCACTCTTCCTCGCGCAGTTCTACTTCTCACTTGTCAGGGTCTGCAAACTCATGCCTAGAGGGGCTGCAGGCAGACAATGGGAATGAATGAGAGGGCCAGGTACAACACAGCTGAGAGGGATGTGGCTCTGCTAGACTGGAGCCTGTGCCCCATATCAAAAAGGGGCAGCTGTTTTGCTGATGTGCTCTAACTGATCATTGCCATACGTGAGTGTGGGCCATGTGTTGTCAGACCTTCATTCTGTCAAGAGAAATAAGAAGTCTTATTTTAAAATACTGCCAGCTGGTCCAATTAAAGAAAAAATACTTTGCAGACGAAACATAACATGTCTTTGAGCTAGATGCAGTCTGTGACCACCTGCTCTAGGATTGTCCCCTGTTAGTATTAGAGTTGTGATGTGGGACAGGGTGTACTGGATTTTAAGGGGGTATTGTTATCTTGGATTAGAAGGAAAACCAGGCAGCGAGGTTGTTCTTGATCAGTACATCATCACAGATCAAAAGGTTCTCTTATTTTTAATAAGAAAAAGCAGAGGATCACCCTAGGTGTGCTAACAAAACTGAATTTAGGCCATCACATTCCTTTGCAGAGAGTTTCCTGCAGTATCTGTGGCAGGAGCCACAGGATTGTGTGTAAAGGATTGTGAATGTTTCTGTGCAGCTTTCACAGAGTTTCTGCCAAGTTTTACTCTAGGGGTTAGATGTATGTCATTCTTGGATGAATTGACCCCTTCTCTTAGCCTGCCTCTCAGCCTTTATTGGCCACTCTTTGCAAATTGTAGAGAATCCATCCGCCATTTGTTTTGCTAACTGGTAGGTCATGGCATGACTTCATCCATAAGCAGCCTACAGGACACTTTTATTTAAAGGGTAAAGAAAGTGTAGATTAGTTCTGTGTGCTCTGGAACAAATTTATCAGGTGGAGTAGTTGACTTCAGGATGTGACAGTAGGATTGTGCGCTCCTGCTGAGAAGACGAAACTGGGTCGATACACCGTAGGAGAAAGTGGTACGAAACATAATAAATGCTCTGGTCTTACAAGCACGAAGTGTAGAGTTCTTGCTTTTGTTTTCTGCTTGGAGATCGTCTTCTCCTTTGTGAAATTATAGACGTAGGAGTTGGAAAACCTCGGTATGGTAGGAGAAGATAAGGCTTTATTCCATTTTTCTGTCTTTTGTAGCGTCCAGTGTCTGCACAGTGTCAGTCCTCAGATGCCAAACTGGTAAGTTCTGGATCATTTGGAGACTTCATTCAGATTCTTATTTCCAGTCCCCAAATGGAAAGCTTTGCTCTTTCACAGCCCGTGTTTGATGCACCTGCTTTTTGAACTTTAATAACATAGAGTAAGTGAAAATGAATGCACAGAGGTCTTTCCGGATACAGAATGCAAGAGTAGAGGCTGCAGGAATTTATGAGTCCTCTTTTCCTGATAGTGATCGTGCTGCAAAGGAGGCGGTTGGATTTAAATGACGAACAGGATTTAGAGACATATCTATCGCTTTGACCAGAATATTCCAGGAAGGAAATATAGTTCACAGACACCCTTCCTTTTCTTCAGATGTCTTATGAAAGGTACTATTGTCAGTGGCTTCATATTGGAAACATTTTCACATTGGGTATTGGGCTGCATTTGATTGTACATATTTCTTATATGTAGTGATTTGCAGTTTTATGAGTTAGAACCTCTGGCATAATAAGTGTCTGAGATGCTGCCTTTAGAAATAACTGTCCTTGTTAGCCGTATTTGAGATTAACTGTCATTTTCTTCTGTGAAGATCTTTGTTTTGTTTTGAACATCTTGTTGAAGTGATTGGGTAGCAGTGAGGATGCTGCTTCTGCTAGCTGAGGCTTTGAAATGATGCTGTAGATGTTTGAGACCTAAGTGTGCCCCTGCAACTGGTAGTTCTTCGGCAAGAAGCTCCAGGATATTTATTTTGGCCTTGGTACTCTCTGATCCAGTTGCCGGACGGCTTGGGAGCTTTAATTGTAACTCTCACAGCTACTGTTTTTGACAAGGTACTTTACATGGTTTATATGAGTCCAAGAAATGAAAAAAAGGTTTACTGGTTGTCTAGTGTTTGGTAACTGGTTAATGCGATTCCATAATACAAGTCTTGGTGTTTAGTTGGTAGAATTTGAAACTCTGTAATGTTTAGTGTTTTATAAGTTTAGCAGGTACCTAGGTATGCTAGCTGCTCTCTGTGGCAAATAAACAGAAAACAAAACTAACCAAAAAACAACCACAAAAAAAGCCCCAAAGCTGTTGACTTCAAAGAGCTTACATTCTGCATACCTTTTAGGGCTATCTACTCTTACTTCAGGAGAACTTTAAAAATGCTTAATTCATGGTCTTCTGAATTCCAAAGAAGTGTCTTTGATATGTAATTCTAATCTTTTTTTTTTTTTTTTAAGATTTATTTATTCATTCGAGACACAGAGATACAGAGAGAGAGAACATGAGCAGGGGGAGAAGCAGAGGGAGAGGGAGAAGCAGGCCCCCCACGGAGCAGGGAGCCCGATGCGGGGCTCGATCCCAGGACCCTGGGATCATGACCTGAGCCGAAGGCAGATGCTTAATCATCTGAGCCACCCAGGCACCCCTGTAATTCTAATCTTAATTTCCCTTCTCTTACATCTGTCTAGCTCCGTTACTTGAATGGCCATAGGTTGCAATAGCCTGTGGTGGAGCAAGGCCTCTCCCTCATGGTTGTGTATTAGAACACTGCTCATGTGACATAAAGCCCTTTTTGCTTTATTTAGTCAACTTTATACATGTAGAATTCTTTGACTCTTCTTGTTCTTCACAGTGTTCTACTCTGTCACCATCTTTCTGTTAATGAAGCGTTCTCAACTCCATGGTGGTGTTGTCAGAGCTGAGTTAAAAACGAAAACAAGTTCTCTGCTCTGGCCATGGACACTTTGTCATGTTTTCTTTTTCTGTTGCTGTCAGATCATGCAGTCCAGTTTTTTGCCTGTTGTTTGACTATTCCTTCTTAATCCATTGTCTCTTTCTACATTTCTTCCTCCCCTTGAATGCCAGCGGTTCAGATTTCCTACTCATCCAGAAATCATTTTTTGGGGTTCCAAGGCAGATGGCATGGTTTTGTGGAAAGCACATGGACTTTAGAGTCAGATAGCCCCGGGTTCAGATTTGCTCTGCCAGTAACTAACCAGCTGTTAGACTTTGGGCAAATTCCCTTACGTCTCTGAGGCTCACTACCCACGTCTGTCAAATGAAGATAATAATACGTACATGGAGGTATGGTGGGAAAGAAACGATAAAGCATAGGTAAATATTTGGGATAGTTCTGGACACATAGTTTACCTTGGACACATAGTCCCCTTCACACTTCTGAGTCCTGTTGATTTTCCTTTTACCCATTTGATGGCCAGTATTGGGAGTTATTTCGATATTCTTATCTGTAGCCATTCTTTTCATATTTGCTGTCATCTACAAATGCAAATTGATTACTTTATTATCTTTTTACTTATCCATCCTCCCAGACATCAGTGAAGATTCTAAGTAATGCTCAATCAATACCCATTCTGAAAATCACTTCCTAATGTGATTCACTGCTGTTTATCCTACATTACATCTTTTAACTCTTTTCAATTTTTGTTGATGTGTTTTATTCATTATGTTATGACACTAAGCCCCAATTAGAAATATAATTTAGAATAAAAATTTTATGAAATTTGTATAAATGTTTTTGTAAAACCCAAAGACATTAAATGTATTTATTTGCTTTACTCCCCCCCCTTTTTGTAATTTTGTCCTAAAAATAAACATTTTAAAGCATGTTTTAAAATAAATAAAACAGTCTCCATACTTATTCTTCATGAGCTCATTAAACTCTAAATGTTTACGGAATTTTTTTTTCTTTTAATATTTGTTCCATTATTTTACTAGGGATTCAAGTTAGACTTACCAGGCGGTAATCACCAGAAGCACACTTCTTACATTTTTGAAGATTGGTACCTCATTTGTTTTTTTCTAATCCTCTGGTACCTCCTCAGTTCTTCATGATTTTTCAAACATGATTGTAAGTGGTTTTGGTAAGTTTTTTGTTTTGTTTTTTAAAGCCATTTCCCTTAATAACAAGATGCATGTCTCTCAGACCTGCTGACTTATATTTATTCCAAATTTCCAGATGTTGCATATCTCTTTTTGACTGTAACACAAGTCTACTTACTTACTTTTTTTTTTTTTCCCCTCCCCTGATTTCAGAATATATTTCTGGTTATCAATTACATTTGGACCTTCTCTATAGCCATTTTTTGTTTATTTCCCACCTGATTTATTCATTTGTGGTCCTTTTTGTTCCTTTTATTTCATTTGATAGCATTAATTCATTTTGCTTTTTAAACTGGATTTTACCAGTTTAAAGGTGGCAAGATGTGTCACATACAAATTGAGCTATTTCTTGTTAATTTGTTTCTAACACAGAATTCCAAACTTTGTAAAACTACATTAGGACATTTTTATTCCTTGTATATGTTCTCTGTCAAACAGGTTTTATTCTTGCCCCTCAATTATGATTGTATCTTTTATGATATCTCACCTTTTTCATATTCTGTGTTTTGTTCAGTTCTTCTCAGTGCTGGTACCTGCCAGCTTTCTTTAGGCTGAGAATCATTTTTCTGATTCAACATCTGTTTTTTACTACTTTTAGTGGCGACAGGTGGTTCCTCATCTCAACGATTTCACATTCTCAGTCAGTTCTTCCCTAGTAATAAAGGTTAGATGTGTAAAGCTTTCTTCTCTGGGTCTGTTTCTAAATCATAAGTTGTACTAATGATAATTTTATATCTTTGATGCATGTTGCATGGCAGAATTCTGACCTCTAGGCAATAATTTGGTGGTTTAAAATCTATCTGAGCACCCAGTAGTTAAAATCTTGTGTCATCTAGACAGAGGCAATGGTTCTCTCTAAATTCAGAGGAACTTTATTTCCTTAGTGCATTCAGTCAGTTCCCTGCGCTGATAAATGCACGAGATCAAAATCACAGAATGGCTTGCACTTGGAGTGTTTTGCTCTTGTTTTTGGCAGTCCTGATGGCCTTCCAAATCAGTCTGATTCCCTTTTTTTTTTGGCTTTGCTTTTAATCTCCAGGTATGTCTTCTTGGCACTCATAAGCATTTCTGTCTCCTTTCTTTCTTTTTTCTTTGTTATCCTTTCTTCTCCCCCTTTTTCTCTGCCTTTTCTCTCACCTGTGTCTATAATTCAGGTCACATTTCTTAATAGTTCATCTCATTAACAAATGTTGGTAGGATTCAACCAGTTGTCTATGACGATAGTACTGTGTTGTACCTGTGTAGACACATGTCTCTGTAGACCAGTACAGCAGATATTATGCTGATCAAGAACATTCTCTCTAATCTCAAATTTTTTTTTTTAAGATTTTATCTACTTGCGAGAGAGAATGAGAGACAGAGAGCATGAGAGGGAGGAGGGTCAGAGGGAGAAGCAGACTCCCCGCCGAGCAGGGAGCCCGATGCGGGACTCGATCCTGGGACTCCAGGATCATGACTTGAGCCGAAGGCAGTCGCTTAACCAACTGAGCCACCCAGGCGCCCCTCTAATCTCAAATTTATTGAAAAGCTGAGATTGGCAAAATACTTCTGACTTTCTAGTCTGATATTTTTCAGCAGCTTCCCCGAAGACATAGGAGACCTGGGTGGATTTTAGAGAGGCATCTGAGATACATAGACAACAGTAGCTACAACTTGCACATCTCTCTCCCTCTCAGCCTTCTTAATAGTTTAGTTTGAGGTAAATAGGTGAAGAGTTAAAAGGAGTTTCTAGCTATCTTTTTTACCTCTTGGAGCACGTTGACCTTTTTCTTTGCAGCCTGGTGATATTTGTGGCAATAAAAGAGTCAAGTCATCAGCTTATGGGAGTTCACAGCTAGAGCGCTCACCTAACAAACACCATTACCCCTCAGCCCCTTCCATTTTCAAACCTCCCAAAGGCCCCAGCCAGGAGCATCTCCTGAATTCTTCCATGCCTCACCTAGACAACCCACATGCATGCACAAGTGGCTAGAGTTAGAACTGTGGGCTGTGCATAACAAAGGAGTGTTTGTGAACCTGTATGGAGACAACTCTTTGAAAGTGACTTGGGAGAGAAGACTGAGAATTTTGGGGGTGTTAGTTCAGTGTTTCTAGGAGCAGGTTTAGATTAGTAGAGGAAGGTGGCAACATCATTGTAATCTCAGTCACTGGAAGCCAGGAGTATTGTTCCATCTCAGAGCAATTCCACAAGATGAAAATTAGGTCCTAAAAAAGAAAAAAAAAAAAAAAGATCATAAGATCAAAAAGAAAAATAAAATGACAAAACCAATAATAAAAAAAAAACAGACAAGAAAATGAACAACAAAAACAAAAGAAAGACAAAAAACAAAACAAAAAAATTTAAAGAACAAAAATTGGGGGTGCCAATTAGATGTTATTCAATAGTGATTTGATCCATGTTCTTGCAAATATGACCATGCATTTCTTTCTTTTTTATTTTTTAGAGATTTATTTATTTTATTTTAGAGAAAGCGTGAGCATGAGCGGGAGGGGAAAAGAGAATCTCAGTGCGATTCCATGTGGAGCGCAGAGCCTGACGGGGGGCTTGATCTTATGACCCTGAGATCACGACCTGAGCCAAAACCAAGAGTCAGACACTTAACCGACTGTGCCACCCAGGCACCCCAACCATGTATTTCTTAAAACTATTCTAATAGCTAATAACTATTTCCTAAAATATTTTTATTACTAACCTTTAATACAGATTTTAGCTTATCAACATTTTAAATAAGTTTTTCTATTCTAAAATGTTTAATCTTTATTTCTATTATATCATTTAAATGAGTGCTTACTTCATATTCTCTCTCTCATAATTTCAGAGGACTTTAAGGTACTTGTAAATAGTGTGAGTGATGAGGCAACTTGACCTTGGATAAGGCACTTGACTGCCAGTAGCTTTCTGATTAGAGCCATGTCATCACATGTGAAATAAAGTATTTTTAACCAATGATGATAAGTGGTGTGTGAAATGAGAAAAGTCCTTAAAGCATCCAGTTAATATTTTGGCTTTACTAAATTGTCACTAAATAAGTGTTTGCACTTTAAAATTGTTTGAAAAGATCATACTACTTATGTGATTCCCTTCCTAAATCTTTAAAGTTTCACCTTGATTCCCCTCTCATCCCAACATGTACTGCTTAATGCATTCCCACAGATTGGAAAGGAATTAAATTTTCCCCCCAAATCCTCTGCAAAGTTTAGTTCTAACTATGATTAATCTGCATGTCAGCACATTCATTCATTTACTTACTTCTTCATCAAATATTTATTGATCTCCTCCTCCATGCCAAGTACTATTCTGGGTGCTGAAGATACCACAGGGAAAGCTAAACAAGTAAAAGTCCTTGCCTTTCCGTGTTGCTTATATCTGCTGATTTCATGGTTTTTCACTATAAAGGTATCTCATCATGGAGTTGCCTATCAGGAAATCTATCTTTTATAACTCCCATGCTAGCTTTGAAGATTAGTATGTATTGGTCTCCCTTGCGTCAAAGGTAAAAGCATTCATGATGTGTACAAGTGTGTATTATTAGTCTGCCTTGGGCTACCATAACCAAGTACCATAGGCTTGGTGATTTAAACCACAGAAACTTATTCCTCACAGTTCTGGAGGCTGGGAAGTCCCAAGATCAAGGTGCCAGCAAGGCAGGTTTCATTCTGAGGTCTCTGTTCTTGGCTTGTTAGATAACTGCCATCTTGCTCTGTGCTCACATGACCTCTTTGTACATGGTCGGGCAGAGAGAGAGAGAGTACAGCTCTCTGATGCCTCTTCTTTTAAGGGCATTAATTTCATCAGGCCAGAGTCTCACCCTCATGACCTCCTTTAATCCTGATTACCTCCTAAAAGCCCCATGTCCAAATACCATCAAATTGGGGGTTAGGGCTTGAACATATGAATTTGTGGAGGGACATAAACAGTCTGTAACAGTGAGTATTGCTGAGAAGGTTGAAAGTTTTTCCATAGGCAGTGTACGCAAAGAGAAAAATAAACAGTAGTTCCTGACAATAGGACTGCTTTTCTCTCATCATAGTTAGTTCTAGGAATTTAGAAAGACAATTTGCATGCACATTTCTTGAGTTACTGCTTATTCTTTCTGTTGGCAGATATACTTGTCTTATCAGTCACTTTCTCTCTTTCAGTGATAGTGTGTTCACATGCTTTATACCATCTGACTTCCTTTGTTACCTTTATATTTCTTTGCTCACGTAACATCAAAATTACTTAAAACTTTCATTGTAGATGACCTTTGTGATCCCCGTTCAGAAGACTGTGAGGAGCGTGGCCCATTTGGCTGCCTCCTTGGAGTGCCCAGGGCAGTGTGGTCCTTGATCAGGTTTCTTGAAGTCCCCAGCAGCTACAGTGTTTCTTTTGGTCACAGCTCTTTTCTGTGTCACTGATGACTATTAACCTCAATTTCCATCCCCTCCCCCATACCAGAGTTCTAAAACATCCCATGGCCCAGTTTTCACCTGTGACATAATAGATTGTTCCTTGGTTTTCTGTCTTATGTCTCATTTCTCCTAACTCCCCTTCCCCGCTGCTGTAAAGAATATCGTTATTTACTGAAATAAATACACATTTAATCTTATATGGTGGTTATTTTCAGATTTCAGATTTTCAGATATCTTTGAAAATGTCAGAAGTCCTCTAAAACCAGGGTTAGGATTAAGTACTGGATTAGAAAGTCATGTGGACATCTTTCTTGTTTTTCTTCTTGTTTTCTTCTCAACCCATAGTGTTTTTCTTCTATTCCGTTTTCTCTTCTTGCCTTTGAGTCTGCTAGCTTTCATTTATTTCCCAGGGTTTCAGGCTAAGAGAGTAATTACAGAAAATGGGCTTTGGGTTTGAGCTTATCCATAATAGGAAAGATAATGATGTTGAGGGACTGAATAGAGACAAATGAAGAAAGATGATGAAAACATTTTGTTTGTTTCTGTTTTTCCTTCTCCTTAGCGTTCCCGTCCACTCTCTGCCAGTGATGCGGAAATGAAAAACCTTGTGGGCTCAGCCCGAGAGAAGGTGCCGGGGAAGTTAGGTGGTTCTGTGCTTGGTCTGTCAATGGAGGAGGTAAAGATGACTCCATTTCAGGCCTTTGTGGGCTAACACAGGGTTCAGTGAACATTAGTGAGTGATTTATAATGTTGATGACCACCTTATGTCTTACACTGAAAAGAGAAAGATTCAAGATGGGAGAAACTTGTTCTCAGAAAATAGCATCTTAAATGGAATTAATTTCTCCCTTCATGCTTCTTTCATATTTGTGGGTTGTAACTCTCTTCCTCTGCCCTATAAACACATGGATTACAGTTTTCAAAATGGGTACTTACTTGATTTTCTCTTTATATAGATCAAAGTTTTACGGAGAGTGAAGGAAGAAAATGATCGGAGAGGTGGATTTATTCGCATATTCCCTACATCAGAGACATGGGAAATATATGGGTGAGGTGACTACCTTTTTTTTTTTTATCTGTGCCTCAGGTCCACAGAATTGGGTTAATTGTGACACAGTGTCATCATTGCTTTCCATTTGTGTCTTTCTTACTTTGTGTATTTATTTATAGTGGTGTGAGTATTACCCAACCCAATAACTAGAGCATTAACAGTAATTTAATCTACCTGTGCATTATTCCTTTTAAAAAAATCACCCACCTCCTTTGTAATAGCCCCTTAACCCGGGTTAGACACTTGTAAAAATTTTATGATCATCATTATCTTGATGTGAAAATAAAGTAAGTTATAGTACCATTTTACATTTTACCAAGAGTGTATGAGAGTTCTAGTTGCTCCTCCTCTTTGTCAACACTTGGTATTGTCAGGCTTTTTAATTTTAGACATTCTAGTGGGCATGTAGTGTACCTCTCTGGTTTTAATTTGCTTTTCTCTGATGAATAATGATACTGAGCCTTCATGCACTATTGGCCATTTGTCTATCTTCTTTTTTTCCATTTTAAATTTAGGATTTTTATTTTTTTGTTATTGTGTTATAAAGGGCTCTTGATACAAGTCCTTTCTTAGGTATTTATATTGAGAATATTAATATCTTCTCCAAGTCTGTGGCTAGCTTTTTCATTTCTTTTTTTTTTTTAAGATTTTATTTATTTGAGAGACAGAGTGCACAAGCAGGGGGAGGGGCAAAGGGAAAGGGAGAGGGAGAAGCAGACTCCCTGCTGAGTGCAGAGCCCTATATAGGGCAGGACTCGATCCTAGGACCCCGAGATCATGACCTGAGCTGAAGTCAGATGCTTAACCGGCTGAACCACCTAGGTGCCCCAAGGTTTTTCATTTCTATAATGGTGATTTTTATTTATTTATTTATTTATTTTAAAGATTTTATTTATTTTTTTGATAGAGACATAGAGAGAGAGGGAACACAAGCAGGGGGAGTGGGAGAGGGAGAAGCAGGCTTTCCACTGAGCCAGGAGCCCGATGCAGGGCTCGATCCCAGAACCCTGGGATCATGACCTGAGCCAAAGGCAGACTCTTAACGACTGAGCCAACCAGGCACCCCTATAATGGTGATTTTTAAAGAACAGAAGTTTTAAATTTCAGTGAAGTCAATTTTTAAAAGATTTATGCATTCTGTGTTTCCTATCTAAGAAATTTTTGCCAACCCTAACGTCATAAAGCTTTTTCTCTTATGTTTTCTTCTAAAAGTTTTATAAGTTTAGCTTTTATATTTTGTTCTGGGATAGTATTGATTTAATTTTTGTGTATGGTGTGAAGTAAGGGTTGAGGTTCATTTCTTTTCATATAATATACATTTATTTCAGCACCATTTGTTGAAATTACCCTATTGAATTACCTTGGCACCTTTGTTGAAAATTAGTTCAAGTATATGTATGGGTCTATTTCTGGACTTTATTCAGTTTCACTAATTAATCTGTCTCAGTCACTATAGCTTTATATTAAGTCTTGAAATTAGGTAGTGTAAGTCTTCCAACTTTTTTTTTAAGTATTTTGACTATAAATAAATAAATAAAAGTATTTTGACTATTGTGTCCTTTGTATTTCCCCAGACATTTTAGAATTCGCTCATCAATTTCTACACAAAAGCCTGTTGGCTTTTGATTGGGATTGCATTGAGTATATAGATTAATTTTGGGACAGTGGACATTTTAACAATACTGAATTTTCTAATCCATGAACATGATATATCTCCATTTATTTAGGTTGTCTTTTTTTTTTTAACTTTTTAAGTTTTTATTTCAATTCCAGTTAGTTAGCATACAGTGTCATTATTGGTTTCAGATGTACAATGTAGTGATTCAACAGTTCCATACACCATTCAGTGTTTATCATGACAAGTGCACTTATTTACATCTTCTTCTATTTTTCTTAGCAGTGTTTTATAGTTTTCAGTGTAAAGGTCTTGAGTATGTTTTTTTTTAAATTCATTACTTAGTATTTCATGCTTTTGAATGGTATTATAAATGTAATTTTTTAAACAGCTTTATTGAGTTATAAACTTTATATATTTAAAGTGTATAATATGGTAAGTTTTAACATAGGTATATATCTGTGAAACTACCACAAAATCAACATAACGAACATATCCATAACCTCTAAAAGTCTTCTTGTGCCTCTTTGTAATTCCTCTCACCTGCCCCTCCCAGCCCTTCCCTGCCTATCCCTGTCACCAGGCAGCGATGATGTGCTTTCTGTTACGAAGATTAATCTGCATTTCCTAGCATTTAATGTAGGTCTACAGGTTTTTCTCTTACTTGTTGGGTCTTTTTTTTACTTTATTATTATTAAAATTATTTTTAGATTAACACATGTTGTATCATGTATCAGTGGTTTAATTCCTTTTTATTGTTGAGTAGTGTTCTGTTATAGGCATAGCCCAGAATTTGTTTATTGTTCATCTGGTGATGGGCATTTTGGTTTGCAGTTTTTGATTATTACAAATAAGGCTTCTTTGACTGTTTATATACAAATTTTTGTATGGCCATGTACTTTCACTTCTCTTGGGTAAATACCTATTTGTGGAATGACTGGATCATATTGTGTTTATGTTTAACTTTTTAAGAAACTGCCACACAGTTTTCTAGAGTGGTTGTACCATGTTACATTCCCATAAGAAGTGTATGAGAGTTCCAGTTCCTCCACATTCTCACCAACAATTGGTGTGGTCAACTTACTTTTAACTCCTGAGGTGATGTGTAGCGATAGCACATACGGTTTAATTTGCATTTCCATAATGACTAATGTTGAGCATCTTTTCATGTGCTTATTTGTTCTTTGTACGTCTTTGATGATCAAATATTTTACCCATTTTTAAATGAGGTTATTTGTTTTCTTATAATTAAGTTGTGAGAATTCTTTATATATTCTGGATATTCTTTTTTTCCTAGCACTTGAAAAATGTTCCATTATCTTTTGGCTTGCATTTTTCTGACAAGAAGCATGTGGTAATTCTTATTTTTGTTTTTCTGTGCATAATGTGTCTTTTTCCCCCTCAGCCTGCTTTCAAGATTATTTCTTTATGGCCCATTTTCAACAGTTTGATTATGCTATATATGCCTTGGTGTCATTTTCTTCATGTTTCTTCTACTTGGATTTGTTGAGCTTCTTGGTCTGTGGGCTTATGGTTTTCATCAAATTTGGAAAACTTTTGGCCATTATTTCTTCAAATATTTTTTTTTTCTATATCCTTCCTTTCCTTTCTCCTTTTGGGACTCTGGTTACCTGTTAATTGGTTGATACTATACTATAAGTCTGGCTCTGCTCATTTTTTTAAGACTCTTTTTCTTTCTTTACTTTGGATGATTTTCTGTTTCTCTGTTTCTAAATTCATTCATCTTTTTGTCTGCAGTCTCAAATCTTCTATTAATTCCTTCCAGTGAAATGTTCATTTCAGTTACTTTATTTTTCAACTTCAGAATCCATTCTCTGTTTGTATCTTCTTTTTGTTTTTTTCCCCATTATTTCCATGATTTTTTAGATTCTTGTGCATATATTATAGTATTTATAGTAGCTGTTTTAAAATATCTGATATTCTGTTATCTCTGTCATTTCTGAGTCTGTTTCTATTGACTCATTTTCCTCTTGTTTCCATTTTTTTCCTTCACATGTACAGTGATTTTTAAAAATTGAATGCTGGACATTATAAATGTATAGTTGAGTGGGTTTTATTGCCTTCTTTAAATGCTTTTGAAAGTTTTTTGGTCTGATAGTTATGTTACTTGTAGATCAGTTTAATCTTTTTCAGGCTCATTCTAACACATTTTTAAAAAAATTTCAGTATAATTAACATACAGTGTTATATAGTTTCAGGTGTATAATGTAGTGATTCAACAATTCTGTACATTACTCAGTTCATTTAAAAACATTTTTATGGTTTGTTTAGGGTAGCTTTTTGTTTAGATCTAGGAAAGTTTTACTATTAAAGAGTCTTTGGAGATATCTGTTAAATGAGCCCCATATTCAATGAGATTTCTCCATTTTGGCTGGTGGGAACCAATCAATGGGTAGCTCTGCATGAATTCTGGAAAATACTCAGCTTATACTTTCTCTTTAATGTTCTTTACCTTGTCACTTGCTCTTTGCCCAGCCTTGTGGACTTTTACCCTATGCCTAAGCAGATTTGTGTTCACCCAAAGACTCAGAGTCCCTTGTGATGCTTTTTCTTTGATGACAATAAGGTTGAGAATCTCTGTACTTATTTATAGTTGACATATTTCTCTTCCTCTGGTGATTGGCTTTTGATCTAGTTGGGATATGAGTGGTTCTAAGTATAGAGCTAGAACTTAGAGGAATAAAAGAAAGTACCCATTTTGTGTTTGTTTTGTTTTGAAAACCCAGCTGTTCATAGAGAAATCTTCCTTTCATCTTACAAATATTCTATCAATGTAATTATACCTTACAAAGACCTAGGAACACAACAGAAAGATGTTGCTTGGGTTTTCTTTTGATATGTTTTTGAAGAATTTAAATATTTGCAGTTCCTAGAAAACATATCTTTTAATTAATGAAAGTGGAAACCTCTACTCTTGAGTATTTCAAGAGTCAGGACCTTAATTTAAGTGCCTTTTCTAAGGAACCAATTACAGGTAATGTTGGGGTCTCTTATAATAGACCAATAATGTTTGGTTTGGTTTTACTGGTTTGGTTCTGAACCAATGGGAGTAAGACAAAGACTAAGAGAGATGGACGCCAAAATATCTCCTTCTTTCCTAATCAAGTCTAGGTTGGGAGATTTGATTATATCTATCTAAAGCAAACACCCTTTTTGCTGAACTCCTGATATGGGCAGATTTACATGCCCATTTATAGGCGAGGTTAGACTGGGCTGTGTGGGAGGAGCACCTGACCCTTAGGACCAGTAGAGGATATGTACCTCCTAAGGGGAAATGGTCTCCCAAGAGAAAAATGGGAGGTGCTCATTGATGCGTTTCTGTTTATTCTTCCTAAATTACCAATCTGGTTAAGTCACTCCACCTCTCCTGGGTCTCTGAGAAAAGAGGCAGAGTAAGGCCAAGAATATTAAACTAATTGAGCTGCCATCATGTAGAGTGGAGAAGGTGTATTTATTTATCTACTAACAAATATGCCTTTTTACTAATATATATTTATTGAGTATCAGCCAGGTGTCTAGAACTATGCTTGGTGCTTCAGAGTATAAAACCAATATTAAGTGGGATCCCTGCCCTTTGAGAGTTAACAGTGGGATTATGGAGAAATTATTTATACATATAATAAAAATAGCTCATTTGTATGGCTTTTCGTCATTATAATGTACTTCATGCATATCATTGTTATTCCAATTTAATGATATGGAAAGTAATCAGTAAGGTAATGTGACTCGTCCGTGATCACCCAGGGGGACTTGATTCAGGTATTCTGACTCTGGATCTGACTTTTTTCCTGCTGTATCATGCTGCTTTCTGAGAAGAAAAAATTTCCTCTATGAGACAGTGTATGACAGATCCCTCTTCGGGCATTCAGTAAAGGCTAAGGTAGTTCAGACAAGGGTGCTTCTATAGTCTCAGAGCAGTCCTGTCAGGGAAGGACTTTGTGCAGCAGACTGGACTTGAGCTGCGTCTTGAAGGGTAGATCGTGGGTAAGTGGAGAGGGTGTGAGGAGGTGTCCAGACCAAGGCAAAAGGATCATTGGGAAGTGTGGTGTGAGAGTAGTTTAAGGGAGCTTGTCTGGCTATATGGCAGGATCAATGTTGGGGAACCATCTGGAAAAAGTGTGAAGGAATTGGTGGTATAGCTTATCCAACTTTTGAAAGCTTGGAAGAGAAAGTATGCCTCCTGAAGTAAGCGTCAAGGAGCCATTGAAAGCTCTTGAGAAATAACATGATTGAAACCATCTTCTGTCTACATTTTCACACCCTTTATGCTTCTCCCCATTCCCGGCTTCATTTGACCTCTTTCTTAGTTATATATGATTTTTGGTGGTGGCTTTGTTTTTACTTTACAGTTTTATTTTCTGAATTTAGGGTGTCACTTTTTATTAATCCAAGAAATCCCGTCATTTCTTTCTTTTTACTTTCTAAATCAACTCCATTTATCCTTTTCATTTTATTGTATCTGCTGCTACTCTGGTATTTTATAATTTTAATTTAAGCAACTTTCTCCTCCTTTGCCACTTTAGAGAACCGTACGTTTATTAAGAAACCGTATATAAGTAACCTGTCACTTCTGTGCTTGATTCATGGCTTTATTTCCATATTTTTTCCCTTCATCCAAACTTAAGAAATAGCCAGTTTCATTCTTTGTCTTTCAGGTCCTACCTCGAACACAAGACCTCCATGAACTATATGCTGGCAACACGTCTCTTCCAGGACAGGTGGGGATTTGCTGATCTTGTAAATTTGCTAATCTTATAAGATCACTAGATCATGTGATAAAGAGAAGGTACATACAAAAGAAGGAAAGAGGCTTTATAAAAAAAAAAAAGTCTTTCGGAAAATCTCTGATACAGAGGGCCTTGCAGAGAAAACACAGTATCATACCTCATTGTCCCAGAATTCATTAACTCTTAGCACTTTGTACTGTTTCCAGAGGCCACATATTAAACCATAATGATCTTTAAACAATCTTAACAAATGCCCTAAACTTTATTATTCTTAAAGGAAGACCTATACTCTGTGCCTTTTTACATTAGACACAATGTCCTCATCTGTTTTTCTAGACTAGAAGAGATTAGAATGATCAGATTTGGAAAGGTAGAGCAAGGTGGTAATTCACAAAATAAATACACCAGGAGTTGTAAAAAAATGACAATTGATAACCTCAATACAAGGGATGATAGGGTAGAATGATGGAAAATGGACATTGGAATTCAAAGAGCACAGCAATCAGGCACTACTTAGTCCCACACTTTTGTTGCCCCTAAGACGTAATTGTCTTGCAGGACAGTTTAGTAATTGACTATCAAAATAAGGAACCTTAGTTATTTAGAGAAATTTATGTTATTTTCAGGCTATATGTGCTTTTTCACAGGATGCTTAAAACAGATACCCAGATTTTAGCCATTTCTTACAATTTTATGATTTATTATCAGGAAATATAGGGGATTTGCCATTTCCCCCTTAAATTTGGGGTTATTACCATTGATGGAATAATTACACTACTTAGCTTCTAATGAAAGAGACCTTCAGATTCACTTAGAAGACATGGAAGCTCAGTTCTCTCTAACCTGTTTTTTTCTCTCCTCCCCCACGTAGAATCCTAGAAACTTTTACAGGCTCCTTTATCTTTAGAGTTCAGGTATTTTACCAAGATATGTTCTAGTGTGTTACTTTTCATTATTTTGGCTTTGCAGTGGGTGAGTCATTTCAGTCTGCAGATTTAAGTCTTCCATCTGTGGGAAATATTCCCCTCATCCTCTCCTTCCTCTCCTTGTGGAACTTCTGTTAGATGGATTTTGGATCTTTTGCTATATGCTCCATGTTTTTTGTTTTTGCTTTTGTTTACTTTTTTCTCATTCTTTTGATCTCATTGTTTCTTAGCTTTAAATTCTGGGAGGTTTCTTGAACTTTTTCTTCTAAAATTTTAAATTGATCTGTAGCCCTGTCTATTTTGTTATTCAGTACCAGACAGGAGAGGGTTGTTCAATTTACCTTTTTAACTTTGGCAAGTATGATTTTAATATCCAGGAACTATTTTTGATTTCTGACTAGTTTTTAGAGTTCATGGCTGTAAGATTAAAATGGTTCTGGTCCTATTTCCAGTGTGGTGGGCGGGTTCCCCCACAGCACCAAGCAGTTGTCCCCTGTTTGCAGCTGAGAATTCAACTCAATCCTGGCACTGTCTGCCCAGAGATTAGCATCAGATTGCGCAGTTTAAGGATTCAGTCCTATAAGACTGTGTCATTCCCCACTTCCTCCGCCTTTGCCTGACTTTGGACACCAGTCGCAAGGCCAGGTTCTTACCTGGACTTCTGATCGACCAGCCCCAAATCAGAGGTTCCTACAGCTCTCTCCTTCCTTCCATTTGATTAATTTGCTGGTGTGGCTCACAGAACTCCGAGAAATGTTTCGCTTACTAGCTCACTGGTTTATTATAAAAGGATATAATTCAGGAATGGCCAGATGGAAGAGACGCATAGGGCAAGTTATGGGGAAAGGGTACAGAACTTCTCTGCCCTCTCCAGGTGTGCCAGGCTCCCCCAGATCTCCACGTGTGCACCAACCTGGATGCTCTCCTTTTGCATTTTTATGAAAGCATCATTACATAGGCACCATTGATTAAATCTTTGACCATTGGTGATTGAATTCCCATCTCCAGGCCCTCTCCCGTTCCTAGAGGTCAGCAAGATGGGACCGGAAGTTCCAGCCCTTTGATCACATGGTTGGTTCCTCTGGTGACCAGCCTGCATCCTGACGGTGACCCAGGGCATTCCCAAAGTCACCACATTGGCATAACGAAAGGCACCTTTACCACGCTCATCACTTAGGAAGTTCCAGAGGTTTTAGGTACTCTATACCAGAGATGGGAGTGGAGACCAAATGCATATTTCTTTAAATTCTTCTTTTAAAACGTGTATTTATTTATTTTAGAGAGAGTGTGCATGGGGGGGAGGGGCAGAGGGAGGGAGAGAGAGAATCTCAAGCAGACTCCCCACTGAGCACAGAGCCCAACTCAGGGCTCAGTCTCACAACCCTGAGATCATGACCTGAGCCGAAATCAAGAGTCAGATGCTCAACCAACTGAGCCACCCAGGGCACCCCCCAAATATATATTTCTTAATATAAATCACAATATCATAAATATTTTTTCACATCTCTTTGACTTTTTTAGTTTGTTGAAAGTTCCTTTCTGTTTTTTGCATTTTATTTAATTCTTCTATATTAGTTCTGTTCATTCATCTCATTCTTTCTGGTTTGTATTACTATATTTCCTCATATATTTAGTGATCTTTGATTGTCCAGTTGTTTTTATAAGTAATGGACCATTTGCTAAGGATAGGTAGTTTGCATGATTTTCCTCACAGGTTGTTTCAGTCTGGACTGACATGGACTCTATGTTTGAGGCTGAATGTTTCCATCTTTGGGCTTCCCATGAGGGAGAAGGAAGTGGATCAGGCAATTGGGAAACCATCACTAAAGTGAGAAAGCATTCTCCCAGGGGGAGCATAACAATAAAGAGATTTTAGATGTAGTAATATATGTGTTTTTATTAACAATTCAATAAACAAGACCACCAGCCGGTCTAATAATCACCATAATTTCAAAAGTATGGTACATGTTGCAATATTTTGAGATACCTGTAACATCTCTAAAGTAATATGAAAAAAGATATATTGGTTTTTTTGTTTTTTGATAATAAAATCATATGAACACTGCTGCAGACAGTTTCCTACATGTCTATGAAGGAAATGCTAAATTTCAGTTGGAGGATTAATTTTAGCCTAATCTCTATTTTTTCACATCCACCCTTGGCCAATCCCTCCGTGTCACCTTGCTCTTTCATGCCTCCTTCTTCTTACATACTTGCCATCCCATGGAATGGCCTTCAGTCCATCCCTACATTCTACTAGGTGTGTCCTTTCTCCTCTCCCAGACTAGGAGGAGGTTCTGCCAGCCCTTCCAATCCCTCAGTCTGATTCAGATTCCCACACTGTGTTATAACTGCTTGTTTACTTACTAGCCCGTCTACTTCACAAGTTGGCTTTTGAGAGAAGTACTTTGTTATGTTCATCTTTGTTTTTATCAGTATCTAGAGTGTACCACATGGTAGGCACACGTACACAAACATGCACCGAAAAAATGAAATTATATTTGTTGCAAGCCCTAACATCTTGCAGTAAGTTTGTTCTCTTCAATCCAAACTGATATTTTTCCTCTTGAAAATCCTGTTGTATTATTGTCAGAATTACTTTCAAACTAATTCCCTAATTACTTCTTTTTGGTTAATTTTGTCTGCCTTTCTTGCCCTCTCCCTCTCATCCCCCACCTGCCACCCTGCCTGACAAATAGTATCTTACCTGCTATCTTATAATATGATAGTTTATACCCTGGCTACATATTAGTAGCACCTACAGATTTTATAAACCCTGTTGATGCTCTGGCCCAACTCCCAGGCTGAAGTATTGGTACTCCCTAAAAGCTACCTAGGTGATTGTAATGTGAAACCATGATTGCATATTACTGGAACAAACCATTATCTGATGAAAAAGTTAAAATCATCTTGAGGCTTTCTGATGATAAGGAGACAATATTAGGACATTGGCATGAAAAGAAGACACGGGAAGGGAAAGACCAAACATTTTGGTGAAGACCTACTTTCTACTTGATTTTCTGTAAATAGAAAATCTTAACATTGATTGCATCTGTCTCCTTTTATAACATTTTTAAAATTTTTAAATAGTAAATTTTAAATGATAAAGTTTTAAGATGAAGAATGGATTAAAAGGACCCAAGGGTTAGGTAAGAGGGTGTGGTTATAAAAGGATGACACAGGGGATCCTATGGTCATGGAATTGTCCAGTATCTTGTCTGTGGTGATGTATACGTGAATCTACACAGTGATAAAATTATACTGAGCTAAGTATACACATTCACAAATGAATACAAGTAAAACTGAGGAAGTTAAAAAAGAGAGATGTTATGTGTGTTAAATGAAAGGAAATTGAATGAGGAGACAATGTTTTAAAGAAAAACAAAAGCTAATTTAAACATAAATGGCATTCACTTCCTATGGTGAGAGCCCAACTCTAGTTCAGACACTATGGAGAGCATCTCTTTTTTTTAAAGGGATTTTTTTTTTTAAATTTTGAATAATCTATTTCTCATGAGCATCCTTTTTTGAACCCCATGAGAATTGAGATTGGTTTCCTTTACTAATACATAATACAGTTCAGTGAAAGTATAAAGAAGAGCACTGGACTCTGAGACCTAACCTCTGGGTTCCCATTTGAGCCCACTAAGCTCCAGCCTTGGGCATGTCACAAAATGATCTTATCCTACTGTTTTTTTTTTTTTTTTTTTTAAATAACCAGGGCCAATAATCTTCACATGGTGGTTGTGAAGAATAAGTGTGATTTGATTTGTGACTGAATATACAGATGCAAGTAATTGTTATGCTTTTTTTCTAGAATTCTTTTTTTTTTTTTTTTTATTGCTCTTCCCCCATGCTTATGGGACTCTGTTCTTTTCTCAGTACATCTCTCTACTTCTCCCCAAAGAAGCCTTCCCTGGCCTAATTCCATGTTATCTCAGGAGTGTGTATGTGTGCACGTGTGAACTCAGGGGAGAATATCTGAACAGTCCTCTAACCCAGTTGTCCTTTCTACTTCTGTAGGGGAAACCCAAGAAGAAGCTTATTGACAGGAAGAACACGGTAACTGATTTTTAAGAGTTGAGAAATTCTTTCCATGTGCACAGTGTGTGACCATGCAGGGGCTAAGCATGATATTTTATGTAACCATTTTTGGTTTGGCTCAGCTTGAATAGTAACATAAAAAATGTTTCTATTAACACTATTCTGAGGCAACTTTTTACAAACTAAGTTTGGGTTTTACTTTTTTTATAACTACAGGTATATCATTTGAACTAATAATAATAGTTTTCTTGTTTGGCTGTGTGAGAGACACCAAAGTATAAATGAGATTTCAAAACGGTGTTAGAGCCATGTTAGAGTCAAATAAGTGGTTATGGTTGGCCTTGGTATACCTGGGGCATGTAACTCTGTGCCTTATGGGACTGAGCAGAACTGCTTCAGGTTTGCCACAGAACTGAAAGTATGCAGAACACCCATGGCTCTTCATTCTGGTGGAGGAGAGAAAGGTCTTAGAGGAAGGGCTGGGGTGGCCTTGCCTAACCAAAGACTACAACGTCAACAAAAACTCTTAAATCTAAGCATACACCTCCCTGGTTTGAGACCTTACATACATCTCCTTTGTGCTGTGACTCTTTAGAAATCAAAATGGCAACAAGAAGAAAGAGACATCCTATATCTAGCTTTTAGTTTTACATTTAAGGATTAATGAGGATAAACCTGGTTTCTCATTGAAACCCCTTGAAGCGTAAATCTAATTTTTGTTTAAAGAAGGATCCAGAGAAAAAAGAGAACACTAATTACCAGTGTCAGATAGGAGAGAGGGAAATAATTTACAGACCCTACAGACATAAAAAGGACATTAAGGGAATATTATTAACAACCTTACTCCACTACTTTGACAACCCAGATGAAATGTCTGAATTCCTTGGGAGGGAACATGTAGCAAAACTGACACAAGCTGAAATAGAAATTTTGAATAGCCCTGTATCTATTCAGAATATTGAATTTGTAATCAAAAACCTTTCGACAAAGAAAATCCCAGGCCCAGTAGTTTCACTTGTAATTTCTTTCAAACATTTGAGGAAGAACAGCACCAATCTTACATGAACTCTTTCAAAAATATAGGAAGGGACACTTGCCCGTTCATTTTATGATGTCAGCATTAACTATGACATCAAAACCTGACCAGAGACATTTTAAAAAAGAAGAAAATTACGGGCTAATATCTTCATGAACACAGACAAAAATTTCTTCAAAGAATATTAGCAAATTGAATCTACCAGTATAAAGAAAAAGAGTAATACATATGACTAAGTAAGGTTTTTGCTAGAAGTACAAAGTTGGTTTAACATTTGAAAATTAGTCAGTATAATTCACCATATATAAAGGAGAAAAGCTAGGTGATCATTTTATTAGATGCAAAAAAAGCATCTTACATAATTCACATTTATGAGAAAAACTCTTAGCAAATCAGGAATAGAAGGGAATTTCTTCATCTGGTAAAGACCTTCTATGAAAAATCTATTGCTAATATCATCCTTAATGGCAAAATATTGAAAGCATCCTTCTATATCAGTAATATGGCAAGATGTCCACTTTTGCCATTTGTATTCACTTTATACTAGAGGTTGTCCCAAGCTGTACAATAAAGCAAGGGCTGGGGAATAAGAGAGAAAAGGCATACAGATTGAAAAGGAAGAAATCAAATGTCTTTAGTCTTAGATGGCATGATCTGGTTAATAGGAAATCCTAAATCCTAAAGCCAGAATAGCTACAAGAACATGTAAGTATACCTAGCAAGGATACATGGTCAATATACTAAAATCTATGGCATTTTAATATACTCGCAGTAAATAATTTAAAAATGAAATTTAAATTTTGTTTATGGTAGCATTTGAAAATAGGAAGTTCTCAGGGATAAATTTTACAAACTATGTTCAATACCTATACAGTAAAAGCTTACTAAATATTACTGAAAGAAATGAAAGAAGCCCTAAATAAGTTGGGGAGATATGTGATGTGTATGGATTAGAAGACTTAATATTGCAAAAAAAAAAAGTTCATTCTCTACAAATTGATCTAAAAATCTGGTGTAATCCCAATCATTATTCCAGTAGATTTTTTTTTTGTAGAAATTGACTATATTTTTTTCATCACCAGCAGAAATTGACTTAAAAAAATTTTTTTGTGTGTGTGGAAATACAAAGGACTTAAACTATCCAAAGTAATCTTGAAAAAGATTTAAGGTACCTGACTAAAGAAATACTATAATACTATAGTAAGCAAAACTGTGGCAAGCTCATCACTGGAACAGAATAAAGAGTCTAGAAATAGGCCTATATTTATATGGTCATTTGACTTTAATCAAAGGGCCCAAAGTCCAATGGGGAAAGGAAACTTTTTTTTTTTTTAGAGATGATTTTATTCAGGCTATTACAATGGGAGAAATGTTCCTTGTTTTTTTGTTTTGTTTTGCTTTTTGGTTTTGTTTTTTTGTTTTCTGTTTTTTTTTTTTTTTTTTTTTTTTTTTTTTTTTTTAGAGAATGTGGGGGCAGGGGAGGGGCAGAGGGGGAGAGAGAATCTTAAGCAGGCTCCACACCCAGCATGGAGCGTGGAGCCCAACACAGGGCTCAATCTCACGACCCTGAGATCATGGCCTGAGCCAAAATCAAGAGTCGGAGGCTCAACTGACGGAGCCACCAAGGCGCCCCGAAAGGAAACTCTTTTTAACAAATAGGGCTGGAACTGGATATCATGCTTTAGATTTTTTTTTTCAAAGATTTTATTTATTTATTTGACAGAGAGAGAGAGAGACAGCAAGAGAGGAAACACAAGCAGGGGGAGTGGGAGAGGGAGAAGCAGGCTTCCCACAGAGCAGGGAGCCTGACGCGGGGCTCGATCACAGGACCCTGGGATCATGACCTGAACTGAAGGCAGACGCTTAGCGACTGAGCCACACAGGCATCCCGATATCATGCTTTTAAAAATGAACCTCAACCCCTATCTCCCAGAAAAATTAGAGATGATTCATTGTCATAAACATAAAAGCTATTACTATAAAACTTCTTGGGGAAAATCTAGGAAAATATCTTTGTGATTTGGGGCTTGGCAAAAGTTTTTAGACATGACACAGAAAGCAATACCCAAAAAGGAAAAAATGATAAGCTAGATTTCCTCAAAATTAAAAACTTTTGCTTATCCTCACACACTGTTAGGAAAGTGACTAGGCAAGCCATAGACCGAGTGAAGATACTTATCAAACAAAGGACCAGTATCTAGGAAATATAATGAGCTCCTACAACTGAAGAATTAGAAGACAATAGATCAACCCTTTTACAAACGGGTGAAATATTTGAACAGACACTAACTACCAAAAGAAGGTGTGTGAGTTGCCAATACGCTTGTGAACATGGGCTTAACAACATTAGTTACCAGAGATTTGCAAATTAAAATCATGAAATACCACTAAACATCCAGCAGAATGGCCAAAATGATATCATCATGTTGTATACTTTAAATGCCTTAAATTTTATTTGTCAGTTATAGCTCAGTAAAGCTGGGGAAAAAGCCGAAGTGACCGACAACATCAAATGGTGAAGATGTGGAGCTAATGGAACTCTGATAAGTTGTCATTGGCAGCATGACCTTGTACAGGCACTTGAGAAGGAGTCTGCCAGTTTTTTAGCCTAGAAAGCTCCATGCTGAGATCTTTACCCAGAAGGAATGAAAAACATAACCACAAAACAACTTGTGCAAAAATGTTCATAGCAGCTTTATTCATAAAATTCCCAAACTGGAAACAACCTAGGGGGTCCAACAACCAGAAAGTAGGCAAACTTTGGATTATTCATAGAGTGGACTAATCCTCAGCAATAAAAAGGCATAAATATGGATACACATAACATGGATGAATCTCAAAAACATGCAGAATGAAAGGAGATTTACACACAAGAGTTCATACTGAATAATTCCATTTTTATAAAGTTCTAGAACAGACAAACCTAATATGTGATGAAAAAATTTAAGACAGTGGTCTCCTTTAGGAGGGTGAGGGAAGGATTGACTGGGAAGGGGCATGAGAACTTTCTGAGGAGGTAGTTAACATTAGAGTTCAGGTTATATAGTTTTAGGCATTTGTCAAAACTCATCAATGGGCATTTAATATTTGCGTATTTCAGTATATGTAGTGTTTAGCTCACCAAAAAACAAAACAAAAACAACCAAAACACCAAAAGCCCTATAAAACAAATACTGAACTTTAGCAACTTAATGATTTGCATGTTAAAGCATTTAGGAGTAAAGTGCACGGACCTCTGTGTATAACTTTGAAATGCTTTAAAAATTAGATGGATTGATGGATGAATAGAAGAAGGGATGGTGGGTTATATGTGCTGAAAGAAATACAGCAATATATTCATTGCAGAAACTAGGCTGTGGGTACATGGATGTCTGTTGTACAATTCTTAAAACTTTTCTGTTTGTGTAAATATTTTCATAATAAAAAGTTGGAGAAATAAAATGAGGTAAATGTAGCTAAAAGGTATTGCAACTTATTTATAAGGAATTCAGTTGTTTATTCAAAAATACTTATGATATGTCAGCCGTATGCTGGGTGGTCTCATGGGCATCTCTGACCCAGTGATCGACAAGACAAGCATGGTCGTTAGAATTCTGTTTATCAGAAGTGTTTATCACACTTTCTCCATCATTCCCTACCTCCATTCTTTGTACTACTTGAATTTATTGCTCTATTCAGGGTTTCTTAGAAACTCACAATTGTTATTTTAAAATATTAGATTTGTTTCATTTTCTTTATTATTTAATTGGCTAAAAATCTATTTTTATAACTATGTGCGTGGGGGGGCAGTGCAGTGTTCATTTGTTGGGGCAATGGTAAGCTGGGTTTGAAGTATTTTTAAAGTTTATTAATTTGCTTCTGGTTTCTGCCCCCATGTGTCAGGACCATCCCTATTCTTGGCCTGATTTTCTGCTCTGGAAAGAAAGTTTCTAGAAGATTTACTGTCCAGTTTATCCACTCAGAAATCCCTAAAACTCCTACGTAGACCAAAAGACACAGCCTTTCCATCATTGTCAGAGATTGAAAACTCCCAGAGAAATGAGGATGATTCCTTGACCTCAAAGGGAATACACTTTGAGTTCTAGGGAGTTCAGTTCTCTGAGAGAATTCATAGTCAACCAGTTAGATCTTGAGTTCTGAGTATACGGGCAGTCAGCTGCCTGCTTTCAGATACTGACATGGATACTTCTTTTCTGACCCAGTGACCAAGAGCCCTCTCTCTCTTTGCTGACCTAGTTACCTCTGCCTGCATGGTACTTTGCCCGATCCTTGTTTGGATTGGGCCTGATACCAGTCACTTCCCTAACTTATGATTTATCTTACTTTAACTAATGCCTAATGTAGCTGCTGCCATCCTCTTCCCATCCCACTTCCCATTCACAGCCTGATTGAACTTGGCTTTGTCCAACATCTGCTGCCTTCCCTTGTCTGTGCCTCTGACTCTACTGTACTCAACATCTGGAGAGGCCCTACCACCTCCCCCCATATCCCCCTGTAACTAAGTAGACTCTAAGGGAGAAGTTGGAATGCTTGAGACTCTGGGCCCTGGTAACATTCCTAAGACACTTCTCACGTAAGTCTTAGCTCTGTGCTACCATATTCACAGGTATCAGCCATCCCTCCCCTTGTCTCAACCTCTGCTAAATCTGTATTTGTTAAATACTGTATACATTAGAAGAATATTTGTATAAGTCTGAGTAAATTATAATGAATAACAATAAAACAAACACCTGTAACCACCACCTAGCTTAAGAATTAAAGTGTTACCAGTGTTCCCAGTCCTTCTTAGGTATAAGGTATTGGGTGGCACTTTATGGGTTCCGCAGTAAACAGTCAGCCAGTATGACTGAACACTTAAAAACACTTAAACACTGTCTTCAGATATATTTTTGTTTTAACAAATTCAGACAGGCCATTAGTGAAGTTTTAACGCAAGTTCCAGTATTCCCATTTATCTGTCGAACCTTTTAGAATTCACTAGAGGTACCCTGTCCAGCCTGTTGTTGGTTACAGAATTCTGTCAAGCCGAGCCTTGGCATAAAGGAGAGAACTTTCTGAAGGCTGTAGCTACCATATTTTTTCCCCATAGACTAGCTGCTGATGGAGCACCAGAACTAAAAGTAGAGAGTATGAATTCAAAGGCCAAGCTGCATGCTGCTCTCTATGAGAGGAAGCTCCTGTCTTTGGAGGTGCGGAAACGTCGAAGACGCAGCAGCAGATTGAGGGCAATGAGGCCAAAATACCCAGGTACCTGCTGGTGAGCTTACGCCAAACTCCATTGTCCGGGTCTTGCCAGTCTGAGTTAATCGGCTTCTTAATTATACTTAATGAATCAGAACCTTCCCGATCACATACACTTAATTTTTTTGTATAGTCTTTTTCTCGGAAACTTAATTTCAAAAGGATTATATGTTTTTAAACCTCCCATTCTGTAATATTTGTACTGAAGAATAACTGTAATATTTGTACTGAAGCATATACGTTTGGCTTTTGCTCGCTTTTCAGCATCATATAACTAGCTGATACTCTAGAAATACTTGAGGTATAAAGATACATAAATATAAAGAAATACTTTAGCTTAAGTATAATGGAATCCTGAGCGTGACTGTTCAGCTTCTTCATGATTAGGTGTTAAATCTCGTTCATCCCTTGACATTGCTGAATGGTAGAAATATTTTAACCATGAGCAGACAAGGAGGAATTTCTTTCTCTCCCGGATTCTTCCATTTTTAGGTCTGTTTGTCACTGATGACTGACTGCCTTTTCCGCCCCTCCTTCCCTCCTTTGTTGAGCACCTGTATCAGGCACGTTAGTCACTAGGGTTTTCATCAGTGAATAAAAAAGATAAGGCCTTTGTCCTCACATACCTTCCAAGTCAGTGAAAGAGAAAGATAATGAATAAATGTAGGATAGAAAGATACTCCCCTGCTCTTTGTACCTCCATAAAAGGTGCCCTTCTAAAAACCTCTAACACACTGTAGAGATCACCCAGATGTTTGCCTGAAGTTGTGAGAGAGCCATCGGTATTATGCTGAAAAACATGAACTCTAATGAAGATGGGTTTTTAGAATGCATGAGACTGGAGAGTAATGTGTATGCTGTTCATTTTGTGCCTTTTTTGTGGTCTGACTTAGAGATGGGTTTTTACTAAAAAGATGAAAGGAAGGTATTGGGAGAGAGGAAAATTTAATCCTTTTTTCAGCAACATTAGTGATTCTTCGCATTTAGTGATCACTCAGCCAGCTGAAATGAATGTTAAAACTGAGACAGAGAGCGAAGAGGAGGAAGAAGTCGCATTAGACAATGAAGATGAAGAACAGGAGGCTTCCCAGGAGGAATCTGCAGGGTCCCTTGGAGAAAATCAAGCCAAATACACCCCCTCATTGACTGTTATGGTAGAAAATTCACCCAAAGAAAATGCCATGAAAGTTTCTGAATGGAATAATAAAAGTGAACAGTGCTACAAAATTGAGACTCAGGAGCCAGAGCCTAAATTTAACCTGATGCAGATTCTGCAAGATAACGGCAATCTTAGGTATGTACCTTTGGTAATTATGATAGTAAAACTGGTAACTAATATTGTGTACCAGGTACTGTGCTGGGGGCTTTGCAGCCATTTCCTTTTCTTACAGCAGCCCTGGGAGGTAATGACTGTGATTTTATTATTGTTACTATTAAGGAAACTGAGCCTTAGAGAAGTTGTTTGTCCAAGGTATGGAGTTATGAGCCAAACCCATGTCTCACTGGTTTGAGTGTCAGTCACTGAAAGCGCAGAGTTCAAGTGGCTCATGGTTTAGTGTAGGGGTACTTACTGAGTAGGGGCCCCAATATGGACAAAGTGCCCTTAGGGCAGAGAGAAAGGAGTGACTGGTCTTGCCTGGAAAGGCTAGAGGGACATTAGGGAGGTGGTAATATTTGAACCAGGCTTTGGCTGATGAGCAGGATGTCAGGAGGGCTGAGAGGTGGCAGCTGTGTGGGAGTACCAGTAGAGGAAATAAAGGCAGAAGGTGTGATGGTCCAGTCAAGTCATTCAGCCCCTCAGCAGACGCTTATTGAGCACCTGCTTTGTGCAGGAATTGTGCTAGGCTGGGTAGTTACATGGAGAGAGGAATGCAGTGAGAGATAAGACAGGGGAAAAAAAATGGATGTCATTTGATCATAAAGCACTCTAAAAGGAGCTGGGACTGTATTTTCTAGATGGATAATTTTTAAGCCGATGAATGATATGGTCAGATCTTGATTTAGAAGGTAAATTCTGGTTGCACTGTGGGTCAGTGATTAAGAGGAGAATGAAAGGCAGAAAGGTGAGTTAGGGGCTGTCACAATAGTCCAGAGCCAGGAAGATGAGGCCTTGACCAGAGCCATGGCTACCGGAATGGAGAGAATGCCGTCAGTCAATATAAGGAGCATAGGAGTTGGTTTCAGGAAGGAAATATGTTTCATTTGGAACACAGGCAGAAGGGCTCTGGGATGAAGTTGTTCAGTGGATAGGTGAAGATACACCTTTAAAGGTCAAGGTTGAACAGAATTGGGCAGTTGAAAATTAGGAACTTCAGAGTGGGTGAGCTTGTCCAGTTCACTTTAGTCCAGCAAGCACAGGCAGGAGAAAGGAGGAGAATTGAGCCCTGGGGAAAACCAGTGTTTAATAGTAAAGAGATAGGAACTAGCAGTTAGAGAGGTAGGCATCAGCCTAGGAGGAGGGAGGGTGGTAGAAGCTCCAGAATGAGAGTTCCAAGCCGTAGTGTGCCTCAGACAGCCTGAGAGAGCATGAAGAGTAACAAGAGACTCCTGCATTTCTGACCTAGGGCCAACTTGTGAGTTGTGAGAAATTGTGAGTTGTGGAAATAAGAAAGCCAAGTGCAAGCCAACTTTTTCAGAGGATTTGGCAATGAAAGGGAGGTGAGAACACATAGTGAGAGCAAGCTAAGAGAAAAGGATTTTTTTTTTTTTAAAGATGAGGATTCTGGAGCTTATTTATAGACTAGGGGAAGGGTTTGATGGAAAGAGGATTAGGGGCACCTGGGTGGCTCAGTCGGTTAAGCATCTGACTCTTGATTTTGGCTCAGGTCATGATCTCAGGGTTGTGAGATTGAGCCCTGCATCAGCTCCCCACTCAGTACAGTCTACTTGAGATTCTCTCTTTCCCTCCACCCTCCCCCTGCTCATGCTCTCTCTTTCTCTAAATAAATAAAATCGTTAAAAAAAAAAAAAAAGGAAAGAGGATTAGAGATGCAGAAATGGATATATTGATAGGAAGGGCCCTAAAGGAAGGTGGAAAGAGGCCGCTGGAGGGGTATCTCTTACTATAAGTCAGAAAGAAAGCACTATGGGATGAATGCAGTAGTTAGAAGTGAAAGGGGAAGAAAGGCTAGGTATTTATGCATTTGGGCCTTTATTTTCTACGTTAGAGGTCAGTTCTTATATTGCAAGGGTGGGTGGGTAACATCGGGGGTTTGGGGGAGTGGGGAGATCAAGTTAAGGTTTGGAACAAGTTAAGGTCATGGAGAATAGCAGTAGTTCTGTTGAGTGGAGAGCACACCACACTGTCCGAAGACCTGGACTCTTGCTTTTTAGGGTTCACCAATGGACTGTGTGATCATGGGCTGGTCAGAGAGAGCTTCTCCACGTCTCAGTTTCCTTTTCCTTTAGGCCAAGGTATGGGGTTAGACAAATGTTTTTCAAACTGTGCTTTCTGGAGGGGGAAAAAGATTCCACTGAATTGAAATAGAACATTTGAAAACCACTGGACTATATTCTAAGGCCCTTTCCAGCAATAACATTCTACTTAGCTGTTGTAGAAATAAATTATTTCTTCATAAATCTCATGGATCTGACTTTCAGTGAGTAAACTTGTAGTTGCCTGGTGTGTTAATGCAAATTAGTGGTTTTTAGACTCTGTTCCCTGGAGCTACCCATCATTCTGTGGGGCATCTCCGTGGCTACTGAGGGGTCTCAGGGAGGTCGTGGCAAGGATTCGAGACTCTCGGCCCTAGCATTTAGTTGTGTAATTTTTATAATGAGGATCCATATAAGCTTAATTTTTAAAAAAAAATAAGGGGTTTTTGGTTTAAATCATTCTAGTTTTCATTCTTTCATCTTTTTGGGTTTGTTGCAAATGACTAGCTGACCAAGGTGAACAGTACCTTAGGGCCAGTCTCAGAATGAACAACCCCGGGTTCTTTCAATGAGGTTTATAGAAATGGAAAGCTCAGTACTTGTTCATTTGATTTGTGGCAATGATTTGCAACGAAACAATAATTGACATCTCAGCCTCCAAGTGATAATTCTCTTATCCAAAAGACCTTCATGTTTTAGCATTAGAGGAATAATTAATAAAATCAGGTATTCTACTTTGGAGATGTCTGAAATGAAATATCGAATGTTTCTACCTCATTCGATAGCAAGTGAATTTGTGGACCAAAATTAAGAATCTTTTTCACTTATTTTGTCTTGAAAATAATCCTGTTATGGGGGTAAGGCTTTTGGGAATGGTTGAGGGGAAAGTGGCATGTGGTCTCCAGGAGAACAAGGGTGTAAGTGTTGCCCTTGTTGAGAAACATTTGAAAATATAAATTTGTTTTTTCTTTTTTTCTTTTTTTTTTTAGGATTTTATTATTTGACAGAGAGAGACACAGCGAGAGAGGGAAGACAAGCAGGGGGAGTGGGGGAGGGAGAAGCAGGCTTCCAGCTGAGCAGGGAGCCCGATGCGGGGCTTGATCCCAAGACCCTGGGATCATGACCTGAGCTGAAGGCAGATGCTTAATGACTGAGCCACCCAGGCGCCCCTAAATTTGTTTTTTCAAAATCATATTGTACTCCCATAAACTGTCCCCATTAGTAAAAAAGATGTAGCCTGACTTACATTTTATGCTCTGAAGATCTGTATTAAACTCTCAAGAGCAAATCTACTTCTCAACCTGACTCCCCTCCCCTTCAGTCCTTCTAGCACATATATAGAAGTTAGACCTAGACCTTCTTAGGATGTCCACTTTACTCTGGACAAGTCGTTCATCCTAATTTTGGAGGAACAGTGAGTAGAAAGCATTCAGTGATTGCATGTGTGAGGATTGTAAACAAAGTTTGTGTTGGGCCCTAATCTTCGCTGATGTAATTTTGGCTAGAGTGTCAGAAGGCCGATCAGCTGAAGTAACCAAAATCTCTCCTGAAGGAAAACAGATCTGCTACAAATAACAGCTGAAGCGAAAATCATCAGTGTGTCTCTGGTATTTCTATCTTCTAAACCATAGCTTGAATAGATTTCCTTATTTCCAACCTAGACCACCAAGCAGAAATCTGCTGGGTTTCTCGGTGATGCCGCTGAGGTACTTTTTACTATATGTAAAGATTTCTTTTTCCCACTGAACATCTGGGCCCGTCCTAGCCTGTCAGTTCATCTATGCCAAACTCTGTTGGACCTCACTCATTTGTTCTGGGCTTCAGCCATTCCCGTCTTGTAGTTGAGAAAAGCATGACCTTAAAATTTGGTCTCAAAAGTTCCTTTGTAGGATTTATCTATTTCCTGCTTTGGAGGCCTTTGCACACTAGAAATATTAGTTGCCATAGCAAAAGAATACTTTTGCACCAACTAATGAGTACATAAGGGACTCCAACGCAGGAAAACCTTTCTACATTAATGCATATGTTATTGTGAAGATTCAGTACTTTTCCCGTCTATTTCCCCCAAGAAAGTTATTAAAAAGTTCAGAGATAAGGTATAAGAGTAGGAAACCTGATTTCCTATTCTTGTTTGATTTTTTTTCTCCCGTGTTAATAATAGAGAAAATAAATAAGATTCTTTAATAGAAAAAAAAAATCTCATGTACTCTGCAGAAGGTATCTTTAGTCAATGACTGCATGATGGGCTTCATTTTTCTTAGCCATCCTAATAGGAGGATCCTCACAGTCCACTTTGAGTGAGGCAAGTACACATTTGGTAGGCTTACCATTCTGTCTCATAACGGTATGTTGTTTCGGATTTCTATAGCAAAGTGCAGGCCCGAATAGCATTCTCTGCCTATCTCCAGCATGTTCAAATTCGCCTGATGAAGGACAGTGGAGGTCAAACGTTCAGTGCCAGTTGGGCTGCCAAAGAGGATGAACAGATGGTGAGGCTCTTCTTGTTGGAACGTTTTTACTTTCCCTGTTTCTTTCCTTCTCCTTCTCCTCCTCCTCCTCTTCCTACTTTCAGCTAGGGTAAAGAGCAATATATTCTTCTGGTGAAAGAGTTGTTCCACACTATAGATTATAGATTTACTTTAATGTGAAGTAAATCTTTGATCTGGGGCCATGTTCATTACACTCTGTTGAGGGCATCAGTTTATTTCATCCTGAAAATGGAAATTGATTGCTCATTAGACGTCAGGCACTGTGCAAAGCCCTCAAAAAGAATAACAATTTAGAGCCCTTTCACTCTTCGATTTTCCCATTGCGTTAACTCTTTGACGTAGGCACTGTAATCCCCATTTTGTAGCTGAGGCAACAAAGACCTAGAGCACGGCCGTAATTTGCCTCTTGTCCCACAGCTTGTGTGTGGGGAGACTGAAACTTGAACTCACAGGTTACAATTGTACATTATTTGCTCTTCTCTTGTTTCCATGCATCAAAAGGCATATGTTTTCTGTCCTGAGGGGGTGGCGTTAACCCTGTGAAAGCACTTTATTATAGGCCCTCGGAGAATGTACCATCCTCCATTTTAATGTTATTTCTCTACTAGTTGAAATTTTATAAAGTTCTTATTAGATGACTGGAAACAAACTGTGTAATAATTTTTGCTGTGTATCAGTCATTTGAACATGCCTAGGATTTAGCATTCTAGCACGGTTATTCTTTTTGAATTGGAATGACAGGGAACTTCATGCTCTTTGGTAAGGTCAACGCTTATAGAAGAAGCCACAGTCCTTCTGTAGCCTTTTGACCACAGGGATCTGTCACCCACAAGAGAGGGACCTCTAAGTCTGAGAAAGCTGCATCCTTTGTCCAACTCAGTGGTGACCCTACCATAATTTTCAGTTCTCCACATACGAGAGGCATACGATATGCCAGGCTTATTATAAAAAACATGATGGAAATCCCAGAAAACAACTTGTGAATTTAAAGTAGCCAATACAACCCAGAGATAAAACCTTGTGTGTTGTGAATAATCCTTCAACCATCAGTGGAAAATGTTAGCTCTGCTCTTTCCAAGTGGAAAATTGAAACTGCCTTTTTGAGAGTCAGTTTGTCTGCTCCACTGTGAAAAAATAATGTTTTAACATAACAGCTTAAGCCACCCTATAGTAAAGACAGCAGAGTAGAATCGTGAAATCCAACCTCTGGTTATGAGGCTATTCCTTCATGCTGGAGCAAATTGGCACCAAAGGACAATGAGCCAAAATCAAATTCAGGAATAAAAAAGAGCTCAGAATAGAATAATCCCTGCAAGCGCTTGGAACTCACACAGGATTTCAGGGCGGGGGGGGGGGGGGGTTGTTTACGAGAATACTTAGGATCATCACCGCAAAACTTAATACCAGTTCTGTGCATTCCTGTTTGAAAATCTAGCTAGAGAGCAAACCCTAACCCATTCCCTGATGATTGCGGCGGCGGTCTTGTTGAGGAAGGTAGGGGTAGAATTGTCTTCTCTGCCCCAAGTTAGGGTTAGAGATTCTTTATCATATAACTCACAGGAGGCACATCAATAGAAGATCCTCAAATCTATCATCTTAAGGCAATTTTATCATGTTGTGGGGGTGTGGGGAGGGAAGGAACAATTCTCTTTAAGGCCCTTAGTCTCACAAAATCTCTCTTGGAAGCATTTGTTATACTGTGAGTGATCTGATTGGTATCTGTTCAGATTTCAGAATCCTTTGCCCCATGCCAAGTGAGATGTACTTTTTGTACCACTTAATGACTTTTCTCTGTGCCCCCCCGCCTCCCCACCAACTCCCTTCCCCATGGGGAAGGAAAAAAGAAGCCACCACCTCTCACATACAGAGTATTGGTTCTTTCTTTTTCTTCAACACTAAACTTTTTAAATGAGCGGTTTCTATTCTTTATTACCCGTGCTCTTCTTAGTCTCTTCCTTCTTTTCCCTTCTCTACTGAAAGTGTTCTCTTGAAGTTATCTCACAATGGCCAGATCCAGGGCCTTGTTTTGGTCTTGGTCCTGGTCCTTTTCAGCTCTGGTCTCTTGGAAGATTTTGACATGGGGCCTTTAATTCCCTTGGCTTCCATGACACTCTTTTCTCCTCGGGTTTTTTTTTTTTGGTAAATTTCTGGTGTTTCTGCCATGGATTTTTGTTTTGTTTTGTTTTCTGATTCTTCCTCCTCTTTCCTCTCTCTAAATGAATATGAATATTTCTGTATTCTTTCTCTTCCTTCTCACCTTTGATGATTTCATCTGCTCCCATGGTTTTAATTTCCACTGTCTGTCCTTGAAAGCTACTTTCCCTAAGTAGCTTTCTCTGATCACCCTATTAGAAGTGATATCTGCACTTTGATTTATTATACTACCATTTGCATGTGAGTTGTGGTACTTTTACAGTTACTTCTTTAATATATAATTATTTGCATACATATTTATTGATTTTCTGATTGCCAGCTTATTGAGGGAAGAGTACGTTTCTTTTGTTTTGTCTCTCTGTATCCTTCTTATGCCTAATGTTTTTGCTCTGGGTCTTATTTGTTGAAATGTATAGTGTACCTGTTCTCATATCTCTGTTGGGTAAACCCTTCATAGCCTGTCTTCTGTTGCTTAGCATAATCCCTGCTCTCCCCCCGCCCTCCCCCACCGCCGATGACTCTTAATAGGAGCTAGTGGTTCGCTTCCTTAAACGAGCGTCCAGTAACCTCCAGCACTCACTGAGGATGGTATTACCCAGTCGACGATTGGCACTTCTGGAACGCAGAAGAATCTTGGCCCACCAACTGGGTGATTTTATTATTGTATACAACAAGGTAGGTGGTTTATCTCTTACTCTTGTGTTTTAGATTGTCATACACTATGAGCAGCAAGCTAGAAGCCTGTGTCCAGCTGGGTGGAGAGGTCCTTCTCTTTTCTAGTGTTGTCAACCCTTGTGTGTAACTGTTACAGGGAGCTGGACCTCACTCCTTAACCTAGCTTGTCTGAAAAGCTGCTTATTACTTCTGAAAGCCCAGTGGCCATAGTTAATGCTTATCAAAAAGCATATTCCCTCTGAGTGCTATTGTATCTGAGATGAATCCTGGACTATGTGAATTTGCATTGTCATTATTATGCCTTTAAACAGTGGTGAATTGACTATTTGAGAGCAAATTAACTGTGGATTTAATAGAATGACATAATTTTCTTTCCTGAGAGAGTTATACTTTGTATTTGAGAACATCTTAGATGGTGACATCATTTTACAGACAAGACCAGGAAATGTACTACTTGGTTAGAATATTTTTCAAAGCATCTGATATCCAAAGGGTATTTGGGAGAAAAAAAGTATAGTTACTTTGCAGAAGGGAGAACTGAGGAAATTTAAATGGCATTTGTAAAGATGTGTGGAATAAACAGTAGAATATTAATATACCAAATCGATAGCTGTGATTTACTCCAGATCTGTTGAGAATTTTGGTATGTCTTATATAAGTGAAGAATTTACTCAGTTTGGATGCTGGTAGAGGAGTACCTTCCAAGACCTATCTTTCGTCTTCCTAATTGTAACAAAATACAGTATCTCTGTTGTCATACTGTTAAAGCTGCAAGGGTGAGCACAGATGTTACTAAGCTAAAAAGAACTATAAAGTTCTTTTTGAATGGGTTATGTGGGCAGAAAGTAAAAACATGATAAAAATTTACATTTATTCTGCAACTTTTATTTGGAAATTCCAAAATATTTTATGAAATAATGGCAGAGAATAATATATCAAATTTATAGGTGGCAAAAGTACATGGAGGAAGTAAGTGTCTTTACTATAAAGACAAATTAACCCAATGGTAATGAAACCAGATGATGAAGTATGCATTTATCAGGAGTCAGTTTTATCTTATTGTTTTCCTTTGTGGGTTGGGGACTGGGTAGGAAACAGAACAGATGGCTGAAAAGAAATCGAAGAAGAAACTTGAAGAAGAAGAGGAAGATGGGGTGAATACAGAAAACTTTCAGGAGTTCATCAGACAAGCAAGGTAGAAGATATTCTTGATTAATAAAAACTATCTTTATCTGCCAGACTGCCCATTCAATTCTTAATATTTCCTTATTTCTAACATATGGATGTGAGTGAAATCACTCTCAGAATGAGAAAAAGAGTTTCATAGGCTTGGCCTCTCCATATTTCAGCCAATTATGTTGTTGTTGTCATGGTTTCAGTTATCAAAACACTGCTGCTGGGTATCTGGGCTGTATTTCTAGACAGCCTTCAAAGTACACACCACTTGAAGTGCTGAGAGAGCCCTTTGGAAAGTTGAAGTTAGAGGCTTCCAGTGTTTACTGGATCTGAATTTATCCCTGACCTATTGATGCAGTGGTGATGACCAAATTTTGCCTACATTGAGTGGGCTGAGGAATTGGCAGTTTCTCAGCACTGTGAGGGTTACGCCTAATTTATATAAAATAGAACAGGTCCTTCATGTGTAGAGTTAACCTTTAAGGATTGAAAATCTCAGCATTCAGCTCTATCTTGATATAAATCAGTCATGCCATTTTGTCCATTGACAGTATGTTTCCAAAGGAAGAGGTAACAAAGGCATTTCATTTAAAATTTTGTAAGACTCACACTGGAGGGCCTTTTTCTAAAACAGAGAGTCATACAAAACTAGTCAAATAAAGGATAAAACATCTGTATCACCCCATTAATTAGTCTTCAACCATCAAAGTCACTGTGGGGAGAAGAACAGGAGAAAATCGATTCTCTCTTGGTTTATGAAGTTAAATCAGGTGGTGAGTTATATAGTCTTATATTATCATATAAGATAATATGATCTGTGTTTAAGACCTTGTACAGACCTAAGGATAGCCTCACTATCATGCGCTTAAAAACTCACAGCAAACAAAGACATCATTTTGTAGGAGTTTATAATCGTGTAATGTTACTTTGTTAACATTCTTGGGTCTTGAGTTCTATGATTGATAATTCAGGTATAGAAGCAAAACAAGAAATGGTTTCTCATATCAACATTATAAAAATCGGAAAGAAAAACTAGAGTATGTTCAGAAAATTACTCTACTTTAAAAGTTAAAAGATTAATATTCTGTTCCTCCTAGGGATCTTCAAGATCCTTATAATATAAAAAAAGAAAAGAAAAGCCAATTTTTTGAAAAGTGATGTGTATTCCCTTACCAGGCCTAACTGGATGCTAAAAATGAATTCCATGTACTAAGACAAATGATACAGAGTTGGAGATAAAATATGCTGGAACGTATTTATTACTGTTGTACATTAAGTGTTGATTGTTGGAAATTTCTGCTAGCATCGGCTCGTTTATTACATTTGGGGTGGTACCCGGATACCTCCATCGAGGTTGGTAAATGCAGATCCCTGCAGGAGTCAGGCAAGGAAACACAGATTATGAAGTGGGCAAAGATTAAGAGAAGAGGCATCAAGCAGTTTGTATTTTGACCAACCTTAACCTTTCCCTTTCCCTTTCTGTGAAGGGCCAAATAAAACACACAGACAGGCAGAGGCAATCACCCGTTTGTAATCTCAGCTGCACGTGGATCTTTAATAGTTACTTGAGGTACTTTGTGGCATTTGGCTACTCTGGAGACTGTGGCGTTTACCCTGAGATTCATAGAAGTGGTTTCCTAGGTTGTCATCACAGTGTATTCTGAAGATGGGGTATAGGTTTTTTGTGATAACACAGGAATACTTTGCCTATTTAAAGGCCACTCATCTGGAATACAGCCTGGCTCTAGGAAAAAAAAATGCAGAAGGCCATTGAGAACCTCCCACAGGTGTTGAAAAATCCATGCATAATATGTTTACTAGAAGAATCCTGTGGGCCCTCATCAGATTCCTTATACTTTCCATTTTGTGGATGTTCATAAAGTGCATATAATTTTAATATCTGAAATGACCTAGAACCATCTCGTTCCATCTCCTTCATTGTATAGATGGTTAGGGAACTCTTCATATGGTTATGCTGGTAGGTCTCCTTATTTCTGACATAGGGAATTAAAATGACAAGGGTCTCCTTTAATGAACACATTTCAGTTATCTGGAAGTGGGGGGCAAACTGTGAAGGGCCAGATAATAAATATTTCAGACTGTGAGGGTTCCTATGATCTTCATAGCATATTCTTCTCTAAAAAGATAAAAACCATTTTTAGCAGGGAGCCATACAAGAATATGTTGCTCATCAGCTTGTCAGTTTTGACCCCATAAAGTTTGTAGTTTTTTGACCTCTAATATAGAACATGGCTATCCAATAGAACTTTCTGTGTTGTAGCCACTGAGTACGTGAAATGTGGCTAGTCTGAGAAGAATCTTTAAATGTACTTAATTTTAATTCATTTAAACTGAAATCATCATATATGCCTCCTGACTACCGTATTAGACAGTGCATCTCGAATATTCACTTTGGGATGAAGAAAGCCTTATCATGCTTTAATTTTTTTAGACGGCTTTGTTTGTATTCCTATTTAACCATCTATTATTAGGGAGTTTTCAGCTTGTACTTTTCATTTTCCCCTTCTCCAGCTGACTCCATTTCCAGAATAAAATCTGGTGGAAAGATTTTCCAGAACAGCTTCCTGTTCTGACCATACTCTCTCTCCTCGTTTCAGTGAGGCTGAACTGGAGGAGGTGTTGACTTTTTATACCCAAAAAAACAAGTCTGCAAGTGTCTTCCTGGGGACTCACTCAAAAAGTTCTAAAAACAGCAACAGTTATTCTGATAGCGGGGCAAAGGGTGGTAAGTATGATGGTTTATTAATGAAAAATAAGAAGAACAAGTGAAAAAATGAGACATGTGAAAAGAGCCAAGAATCATGTGCTGCGTAAGCACTATCAGACTCCAAGATGGTGAAGTATTGCAGTGTGGGGGTCGGGGCTGAGGAGGCATTCCATTTTTGTCCTCAGAACAAGAGGGACATGGTCTGATTTTTTTTTTTTTTTTTTCACGAAAATTAACAGCAGAGAGCTTTTCAAGACAAGCTAATAATGGCTAACATTTAAGGGAGTGCTCATATTACTATAATCTGCTGGATGTGATCTAATTTTTTTACTTTTAAAAACCATATGGAGTGGGTGCTATTATTCAACTTCTTTATACAGATGAGAAAACAGAAGCTGAAAGAGACTGAGTAACTTGCTCAAGGATCCCCTCCACGGTGCAGTGGGATGAGAATTTGAACCTTGATCTGCCCGACTCAAAGCTTGTGCTCTTAATCTGTGCTTTTCTGCCTTTCCTAATAGTTATTTCCCATTCTTTTTAAGTTTTTTGCTTCCTCTGGCTTAGCAGCATTGGCATTTGGGGTAGAAGAATTATTTGTTGCGTGGGACTCTTCCATACCTGGTGGGATGTCTTAATATCCTTAGTCCCACATCCTAAATGCCTTTAGCTTTCTTCAGTCACTGTGATAGCCCAGAATGTTCCCACACATTTCTAAAAGAGCTCATGGCGGGGGAACTCTGTGATTGGGGATTTTGGAATTAATGTGGACCGAACTCTCTAGCTCATGTCATATGATCAAAAAATAGCAGTGATGTTCTGTTATTAAACAAAGCTTTGTGCCTTAAAGTAAGATTCATTTAAAATCTAGATGGGAAGTGTAAGACATAGGAAATCTACACCAATTCTGTCACTATGCTGAGCACTAAATTCAAGGACGGAGACTCGTTCCCTGCTGTTAAGACTACCATAGTCTAATGTGGAAATAGCGAGGACAATTGGTCATTTAAAATGTGGAGTGAGTGTTCCAAAGAAACAGTGTTAATGTTTTAAAAACTGTTTTGATTCAGAGGCCAATCTACAAAAGCCTATTTATATTGAGCTCACTGTATAATCGAATGATACTTCTAGAAGTCCCCAGGTCAGCCCTCTTCTTTGAGCTGTCCTAGCTTATCTAAGTTCTGAAGTTAGTTGATTCATCTATTTATTCATTCCTTCTACACATTCTTCCTGAGCACCTGTTGGGTGTCAGACATTGTGATGGTTGCTAGGTATACAGTGACCAGGGCTGTCCTAGGACCTTGACTTCATAAGGTTTATTGTCTAGTAGATAGAATTGGGTGAGTAAATGTAGGAAGAAGGTTGGTGGAAGCTTTGAGAAGCTCCTGTAACAGTGCTGAGGAAGAGAGGTTGAAGAGTTCTTACAATGAGGTTGGGGTAGAGAAAAGCGCGTTAACCTAGAGAGGTGAGGGCCTACAGTGGCGTTCAGATAAGTAACTTCCTCCCTGGGGAAGCCCTGACAGTATGTCCTGACAGCATCTGTTTGTACAAATGGGTCCCTGAGAATTCTGGGGTTCATGTGTTAAGGATGACCTCTGCGTAAGAAGATCTGTACCTATGTAGACCTAACAAGAATAACTAGAGAGGCAGTTGGAAGGCCCCAGTTAAGGAAACAACGCTTTGACATCTGATAGTATCTGGACTGATTTCAAACATGAGCAAACACATGTGTGACAGTTACCACCACTGCTGGTGGTGATGGGCAGAAAATAATTCCTGTGTCCTCATTCTTTCATTCTGAAAGATGATAGGTAAAATGGCCTTTCTTAAGTTTTTATACGAACTAGCCCTGAAAAAGATTCTGGAGTATTTCTGCAAGTACATGATTAGCCCTGGCTGTCCTGTTTCAAAATCCTGTGGTAGGAAAAAACTAGTTTATTAGAGTGGAATTTATTTATTAGAGTGATTTTGTCATGAATATACTGATCACCCTATTTCAAGTAAACTCACTCAGCTTGCTCAAGTAAAACCAAGAAGTTTACTTGAAGATACAGAGCTATTATGGGCGCCTAGGTGGCTCAGTCAGTTAAGCGTCTGACCCTTGATTTCGGCTCAGGTCATGATCTCAGGGTTATGAGATGGAGCCCTGTGCAGGCTCCATACTGGGTGTGCAGCCTGCTTAAGATTCTCTCTCTTCCTCTGCCCCTCTCGCCCCACCATTCTCATTCATAAGTAAATAAATAAATAAATAAAAGCAAGCAAGAAAGATTAGATGCAGAGTTATTGTAGTATCCAGATACCTTGCCAACAAATATTGGGGCTGTTCTTTCTGTCTCTTGGTTGTTGCACTGCTCCATATGTATTATGATTTCTTTGCTCCAGTGGGTACCATCAACAAGCTTGGTTTCTTAGTTTCCCTAGTTTGAATTCTTGGTAGAGGCATCTGACTGCCCTTACTTATTATTATTATTTTTTTTTCTTTTCTTTTCCAGGCATGTCCTAGCTTGTTGCCATCCATGGATGGCTGTCCTGGGTTTAAGTATTTTTCCCCTGGTTCAGTTAGCTGGAGCTGGGGTTGGGCATGATTGGGAATCTTTTGGTTGGTTGCCCACTCAGCAGGGCTGTGGGTGTGGCCAGCCTTGGGAAAGTGTGGTGGGGTATGCGATGTTCCTGGGATTAATTATGAATTGTGTTATATTTTGGAAACAAAATTATATGTAGAGCATTTGTATTTATTTTCTGTTTCAGATCACCCTGAGACGATGGCCGACGTGAAAATAAAGCAGCCCAAACAGCAGCAGGCCACAGACATTCACTGTGATAAATTATCTCGTGAGTGACTTCAAACCTACATAGATTTGCCGCCCTCTGATAAATCCCTAAAAGGGGAGAAAAAAAGTCATCAGATTGTAAATGATTCTAAAGTGTAAGGCATTACCCCCAAGAAGTTCCTTTTCTTTGTTTTTTCTCTTCCCTTAGAATTTCCTTCTATGTGCTGATAACCTATTTTCCTTCTGAGGAATTTTTCATTTTCTTAATATTTAGAAATTTCTGAGCACTTTTTTTCCCCCCCAGAAGGGTGAAAAGCAGAGGGAGAGCAGTTAGCTGTCACTACCAGAAACTTTTGTCCTAACGCCCTCACATTTGTAAAATGCCTGCTCTGGTTGATGGAGGTAGTCTCAACTCCAGCTTTTAGAAATTCTAGGACTACAAATAAACTGTTTCTGTTGCCAGGTTGTCTTGATAGGCATGATTCGTTAAGTTCATGATGAACACTCATTAAAGTCTCTGTCTTTCATGATTTCTGTTTCGTGCTAAGATTATTTCAATGTTTAAAAATGTTTACTTCATGTTTTATAGAGATTATATGTCAGTTTTTCCTAAAATGATCTGCTTTGTTTTGTTTTATTTTGTTTGTTTTTGTTTTAATAGGATTTACCACTTCAGCAGACAAAGAGGCTAAATTAGTCTATACAAATTCTTCCTCCGCTTCTTTCTCTGGTCCTGTTGTTACTCTTCTGCAGAAAATTCCCAGTACCCACTTGTCATCTATTATTACAACCTCTGACCTCTCATCAGGGCCCGGCCACCATTCTTCTTTCTCTCAGATTCCTCCAGCTATCCCCAGCATGTCTCACCAGCCAGCAGGTTTACTGAGCACAGCCCCTGACAGTGCCTCTCCCTCCATACATCCTGGGACACAGAACGCACCGAGCCCTGCTGGTCTGCCGCGCTGTCGATCAGGCAGTCACACCAGTGGCCCTTTTTCCTCTTTCCAAAGTGCTGCCCACATCTATAGCCAGAAACTGTCTCGTCCCTCTTCAGCAAAGGCAGGTGAGTGTGAGAAAATGAAAGGCAGCCTACAATGTCCGCTTCTCCCCGGCCCGCATAAAAGAAAAAAAAAAAAGAATGCCATCTCTTCCATTTTGCCCTTTCTTTTGAAAGGTAAAGGGACACATGCATTGTTCTGATGAGACTGAGGAAGAGTCTTGCATTTGGTCCAGTAGCATTCATCCATTAATACAGAATGAATCAGGGCTTCTTTGAGATGCTGGATAAAGGATGAATGAGACCATTCTATTTAGTAGGAGCTTACAGTCTAGTCAGGAGATTTTCCATCACAGATCATCATAGACCTACAAGTGTGCTATATACATTCTTTCTGATCCAAATAGTTATTTTTCAGTGTATTTAGGGTCAAGTATGACCTGAATAAATAACCAAAAAATTCTTAAAATAAGGTATCTAACTTTAAATGAAGTATTTAGACCCATATTGTCAGTGAAGTTTTTTTTTCCCCATTTTTAATAACAGTTTTGTGGAGATACAATTCATATACTGTGAAATTCACCACTTTAAAGTGTGCAATTCAGTGGTTTTTAGTATATTCACGTAGTTGTGCAACCAACACCACTATCTCTTATTTTAGAACATTTTCTTTATGCCCGAAGAAACCCCATACCTGTTTGTAGTCACTGTTTCCTCCTTCCCCCAGCCCTGGCAACCACTAAACTACTTTCTGTCTCTGTAGATTTGCCTATTCTGGACATTTTATGTAAGTGGAATCATACAACTAGTGGCGTTTTGTGAATGACTTATTTCACTTAGCCCAATGTCTTTAAGGGTCATTTATGTTGGGGCGCCTGGGTGGCTCAGTTGGTTAAGCGACTGCCTTCGGCTCAGGTCATGATCCTGGAGTCCCGGGATCAAGTCCCACATCAGGCTCCCTGCTCAGCGGGGAGTCTGCTTCTCCCTCTGACCCACCCCCCCATGTGCTCTCTCTGTCTCTCATTCTCTCTCTTTCAAATAAATAAATAAAATCTTAAAAAAAAAAGGGGGGGCCATTTATGTTGTAGCATGTGTCAGTATTTCATTCCTTTGTATGGCTGAAGAGTATTCTTTGGATGGATATACCATACTTTGCTTATCCATTTATCAGTTGATGGACATCTGGATTGTTTTGACTTTGGGGCTATTATGAATATTGCTGCTATTAATGTTTGTGTACAAGTTTTTGTGTGGACCAATGTTCTCATTTCTCTTGGGTGTATACATAGGAGTGGAATCACTGGGTCATATGGTAGCTTCATGCCTTTTTTTTTTTGAGTAACTTCCAAACTGTTTTCAAAGTGACTACATCATTTTGCTTCCAGCAATGCATGAAGGTTCCAGTTTCTCCACATCCTTGCCAGCCAACACTTAGTATTATCTGTCTTTCTGATTTTACTTATTCTAGTGGTTTGGAAGTAGTGTCTCATTTTTGTGGTTATCATTTGCATTTCCCTAATGACTAATGATGTTGAACATCTTTTCATGTGCTTTTTGGCCATCAGTATGCCTTCTTTGGATAAATATTTATTCAAATCCTTTGCCTATTTTTAAATTGAGATATTTATTTTTTATTGTTATGTTCTTTATGTAGTCTGGATGCAAGTCCCTTGTCAGATACATGATTTTGAAATATTTTCTCCCCTTCTGTTGGTCATCATTTCATGTTTTTGAAGCACAAAAACTTTTAATTTTGATGACATCCAACTTATCTGTTTTTCTTTTGCGCTTATGTTTTTGGTATCATACCTGAAAAATTATTGCCTAATCCAAGGTAACAAAAATTTATATGCATGTTTTTTTCTAAGAATTTTATAGTTTAGGCTCTTTCATTTAGGTCTTCTATCCATTTTGAATTTTTTATCCATTTTGTGTAGGATGTGGCATAAGGGTCCAACTTCATTGTTTTGCATGTGTATATTCAGTTGTCCCAGCACCATTTGTTGAAACAGAGTATTATTTCCCTGTTGAATTGTCTTGGCATTCTTGTCAAAAATCATTTAATCATAAATGTAAGGGTTTATTCTGGAGTCTCATTTCTGTTCCACTGATCGACAGATATGTTTAGCCTTATGCCAGTACCACATTGTCTTGAGTATTGTAGAATTGTAGTAGGTTTTGAAGTCACCAAGAGTGATTCTTCCAATTTCATTCCTTTTTTCCATATTGTTTAGACTATTCTGGATCCCTTGCATTTTCATATGAACTTTAGGATGAGCTTGTCAGTTTCTGCAGAAATAGGCAGATGGGATTTGGATAGGATTGTGTTGAATCTGTAGATTAGTTTGGTAAATACCTTACCATTGGTCAAGTTTTTAAACAGTTTAGTAATATCCATATTACGATGAGTTACAGCTAAGCTATGTTTTGTAAATAGTCAATTTATATTTCTTAGTATCTGATTTCAAATGAAATGAATATTATAATATGCAGCTTGAATCAGAGATATTAAATATATACTTTAATAAGTCATAACTATGAATATGGGCATGTATGTGTGTGCTAATTCTGAGTGATTATTCTTGTGATTTAATCTTCTAAGATTGATAGTAATAATAATAATGTTCTGGTTTGAACTGTTTTGTCCCATTTGAGAGAAATTCAGTAAGATCAATGTCTCCAATACCCTGTGTTAATCAAAACTTTCTTTAAAAAACCTTCATTTTTCACACTTTTCCCAGAGAGGAATAGGGAACAAAAGGAGCTAGTCAGTTCAAAAATATTTTTAAATTTCTGTTGTGATTTATCCTTTGACCCATGGATTGTTTATAAGTATATTGTTTAATTTGCAGATAGTTGGCATTCTCTACTTCTTGTAATTGTCTATTTCGCTTATTTCCATGGCGGTCAGAGAACACATTCTGAACGGCTTAAACAGTAGTAGACAACAGTATAGTGACAATAATAGCCTGCAAGTAATTTGAGTTTAATTTTTCTGTGGTTATTGAATAGTTGGAGAGTGAGAGTAGGATATGATTTAACTTCAGACTTTTTTTTTTTTTAAGATTTTATTTATTTATTTGAGAGAGAGAGAATGAGAGACAGAGAGCATGAGAGGGAGGAGGGTCAGAAGGAGAAGCAGACTCCCCACTGAGCAGGGAGCCCAATGCGGGACTCGATCCTGGGACTCCAGGGTCGTGATCTGAGCTGAAGGCAGTCGCTTAACCAGCTGAGCCACCGATGCGCCCCTTAACTTCAGACTTTTTAAAGATAAATACACAGTATGAAATTTCAAAGGTCCCCACCAAAAGAGTAAAAATGTGGAAATTCTAAATCTTTGGGAAGAAGAAAAATGGATTGAGCAGGAAGCTTAGAAAAAGCAAGAGAAATGAAACTTAAAAGATAGCAAACCAAGTCCCAATGTCAAGAATAAAATAAATATAAATGGGTTGAACTTGTTAGAAGAGTGTCAGGTTGAATTTTTAAAAAAATCCAACTGTGTGCTGTTAACCAGAGAGAGATACACCTAAAGAGAAGAACAAGGAGTGGTTGAAAGTAAAAGGATAAAGAAAGAAATGCCATGTAAATACCAACCAGAAGGAACATGGTATAGCTATATTAACATATGCTAAAATAGACTTTAAGATATAAAATTTTCTTACAGATACAGACAGTAATTACATAAGACAAAAGGTAAAGGTTTAGTTCGGCAGAAAGATAAAACAGTTCTAAGTGCATCTAATAAAAATAACCTCCAAATATATAAAACAAAGATTGATACAAGTACATGAGGAGTCTATAAATCCACTGTCTTAGTGGGAGATTTCTACATACATCTATCAGGTATTAATAGACTAAGCAGATTGTTTTAAGTCAGCAAAGATAAAGAGGATTTGAACAAGTTGGTAAGCTTTATCAGTTGGTCATACATAGAACTGTGTACCCAATAATTAGAGAAAACACATTCTTGAGCATTCATAATATATTCATAAAACCAGTCATGTCCTACATCATAAAATAAGACAAATTTCACAGAATTGGCATCATACAGGCACATTCTCTGTCTACACTGCAATTAAATTGAATGACAATAACAAAAAGTTATAGCATATAACAAATCCTCATGAATTTCAGGATTGAAAAGAGTCAAATACTGGGTGTTGTATGGAGGTGTTGGATCACTATATTGTATACCTGAAACTAATATTACAGTGTATGTTAACTCACTGGAATTTAAATTAAAACCTAAAAAATAAAATAAAATAAAAAGAGTCAAAGAAGAAATCATAATGGAAATAAATGTAAAAGTATTAGAATGGAATGATAATGGGACAACTGTGGGTCCAAGTTTATGGAGAGCAATGAAAGGCAGTATGTGGAGGGAAATTTACTGCCTTAAAAACTTTCATTTGAAAGGAAGAAAGGCTGAAGATTAATTTCTAAGTATTTAATTTCAGACATTATAGAAACAAAACATCATAAATCTAAATAAAGAAAAAGAATAAGGATAAGGGCAGAAAAATCAGCGAATTCAGAAATAAAGTACACTAGGGAATATCAAAACCAAAAGTTCTTTGAAAACCCTAATAAGATGGACAAACCTCTGGTGAGACTGATCAAGAAGAGAGAAGACATGGAGTAATAATATGGGGTTGGGGATGGAAAACCTATAGAACATACACATTTTGCATAGGTGACAAAAAGAATTGTTAACCGTTTTTTCCAATAAAATTGAAAACTTACAAAATGGACAAATACAAAAGTATAACTTACATAAAATTCACTCAAGAAGATGAAAGCCTCAACAGTCCTGTATTAAGATAATTGAAACAATAGTTAAAAATCTCACAAAATTTGAGGCCCAGATAATTTTATAAGTAAGTTCTAACAATCTTTCAAAGGGCAGATAATTCCAATCTTAAACTCTTCTCGAGAATGGGAAAAGAAACGATACTCATCTCATTTTGAACACCTAGTTTAATCTTAATAACAAAACCAGTTGAGGATAGTATGAGGGAAATTAGAGACCAGCTTCATTTATGAACATAAATGCAAAAATTCTAATCACCATATAAGCCAGCCAAATCTAGCAACATATGAAAGAGATAGGACACCATAAACAAGTTTATCCTAGGAACACAGGAGGGCTTAACAGTAGAAAATATATAAACAACATTTGCCACATCAACAAACTAAAGGAGAAGAACCATATTCATCTTAGTAGATGCAGAAAAAGAATTTGATAAAATTCCACAGTCATTCATGATAAATCTCTCAGCATAAGAAGAGAAGGAAACTCTTCTTGAGCTGAAAAAGGCTATCTGCCAAAATCCTACATGAGGTATCAGTGTAAATGGGGAAATGTTGAAAGAATTTTTTTTAACATTAAGAGCCGTGAAAGGATGCCCACCAATATTGCTTCTATTTAATGTTTTACCAGAACCAACATAGTAAGACAAAAGAAATTAAAAGCATAAGGATCAAAAAGGAGGAAATAAAATTTATTTGCAGATAATACATTGCATAGAAAACTGAAAGTAATCTACAGATACATTTTAGAAATAATTATTTTAGCAGTAGAGATGGCCATAAGATCAATATTAAAAAATCAGTTTTTTCTGTATATTAGCAGCAAAGCAATTTTTTGTAGTGTGGTTAAATATATATAAAATTTACCATTTTAACTATTTTAAAGTTTTTTTTATATTTCTTTTAAGTATACTTAATTTCTTTTTTTATTATGTTTTTAAGTTTACAGTTTAGTTGCACTACGTACATTCACATTGTTGTGTAACAGTCACCACCAAGAAAAAAATAAATCTAGGAATAAAATTTAGGGATAAATTTAGGAAAGAAAGGAAATTTTATAAGGCTTTTTGAGGGACATTAGAGAAAACCTAAATAAAATAGATTAAATAGCTTATATGCATGGATGGAAAGAGTCAGTGTCCTAAATGTTTCAGTTCTCATCACACTGATGCCTAGATTCAGTACAATTCCAACCAGAACCTCAATAGGTCTGTTGTTACACTTGACAAGCCCATTCTAAATGGCCAAGAATAGTGAGAACCTACGAAAGAACAAAAATAAAATGGAGGAACAAAAAAAAGATATGATATGATATGATAACTGAGACAGTGTAGTATTTGTTATAGACAAATGGACCAATAGAAAAAAACAGGAAGTTAGAGACACACAGATAGATGGAACCTTGATACATATCCAAGATGGCATTGTGCATAGTGGAAAAGGAGGGGTTTCTCAATACATAGTACTTGGATGATCAGTTAATAATACAGAGAAAAAAATGAAACGAGGTCACTGACTTACACTATGTATAAAATTAATTTCAGATGCAAAACTTAAAACTTCTAGGATAAAATAGGGGCATCTGGTTGGCTCAGTTGGTTAAGCATCTGACTCTTGATTTAGGCCCAGGTCATGATATTGAGCCCCACATGGGGCTCTGCACTCAGCAGGGAGTCTATGTGAGATTCTCTCCCTCCCCTGTCTGCCGTGCTTGGGTGCGTGCACACACGCTCTTTCTCTCTAAGATAAATAAATCTTTAATAAAAACTTCTAGGATAAAATAAACAAGATTATCTTTAAGATCGCATGGTATGGAGCCAGTGACACACAAAAGCAAAACTACCATAAATCAATAAGAAAAAACCCAATAGAAAAATGATCAGTGGTATCAGAAAAGAGGTAACACATGCTCAGCATCATGATTAAGCAGTGGATGTAAATGGAGACTACAATGAGATTTTTATCCCCTTAGAAGTGAGAAAAATTAAGATACTTGACAACACTAAGTGTCGGGGATGTCGATCAGCAGGAACTCTCATATTTTGCATGTGGGAGTGTAAAAAAATGCCACTTTGGTATTATCACATAAATTTGAAGATTTACCATACTCTATATAATTCAACAATCCCATTCTTAGGCTTATACACAAGAGAGGTTCTTGCACATGTGCACCAGGAGATATTCAAGAGTGTTCACGGCTGCACTGTTTATAATAGCAATAAGCTTGAAATAACTAAAATATCCATTGATGGGGCAAGAGAAAAATAATTTGTAGTGTATTTGCAAAATGGAATACCAAGCATCGGATAAATTAATGCATTTTAAGCTATGCTTAGCAAGGATGAATCTTGAAAGTATGGTATTGAATGACAAGAACAAATCTCAGGAACCTACTACAGTAAGATACCACTTTTGTAGAGCTCAAAACCAAGCAAAATTATCTAGTATTTTGTTTATGCGTACCCACACAAATACATTATTGAAGATATTTTTAAAAAGGAAGGGAATGAATGATAAGGGGAAATAAGGGATGTCTCAAGAGGAGCACATAGTTGGTGCATATTAATTGGTAATGTGGTTTTGATTTGGGTAGTAAGTTCACTGGTTCATTATAGTATTATTTATAACTTACCTGTTATAAAATTTTCTATGTATCGCACAATAAACATGAAAGAGTTACAGATTTTTTAAAGCAGTATCACCAGATTGTATATACCAAATGATCACAGTTATATAAGCATTAATAAGACAGAAAGGAAACATAGTATTTTCTGGGTTTTAAATTTTTTTTTTCAGTGAGATGTATGACTTCCATCATAGAAAAAATATGAACCTTGATTTTATATTAAATAATTTCAGTGCTCAAAAACTCCGATATTACAGTTGGAAGAAGAACATTTAAATCTGAAAGGATAATGAGTCATTTCATCAATATAAGATTATTGCTGTTTTTCTAATTAGACTGTTTTGCTTTTATCTGTTTTCCCTTTTGAGCTTGGTAAGACGGATTGTGGCTTATTTGACAGTAGATGCCATAGGCTACTGACAAGTAAAGTCTCATTACAAGAAAAATAAGAATTATAATAAGTTTTAAAACTATACTTTTTTATTCATTAAAATTAGTAAATTCTACGAGTGGTTGTTACCCACTGCATATGATGAAATTTTTGTGTGCGTGAAGCTTTCATAGTAAACAAAAACATGTTAATAAATGCTTGTAACAAGTTGTCAAAGATCCCTGGGATTCAGTAAAGTATCTGTTGGCTGAGATTTCTCTGTCATCACCCTAAGTTTTTCAGGATTTTTTTTCCTAAGTGGATAAAAACTTTTCTCTGTTTTTAGCAGGTTCATGCCATCCGAACAAGCTACACTCGGGAATGGCTAAACCACAAAGAGAGGGAGAAGATGGTTCTCCGTACAGCAGACGGTATAACCCAAGCATGGTCACGGCCGAGCTCCAGCGACTGGCTGAGAAGCAGGCAGCCAGGCAGTATTCCCCATCTACTCACATCAGTCTCCTCACCCAGCAGGTACGGACAGTTGCGGGACCAAAGAGCTCTTTGGTCCCGAGGATCTTAAGGACAGGGTCATCTGTCCTTCCCTGCCTCTGCTCATTTCCTGTATGCTGATGCTTGTTGAAGGAGTATTAGTTGGTGTGAGCTAAAGAATGAGAGTGTTCCTCTTGGTCTTTAAAGAAAATAAACTTCTGTTACAGGTATTCCAAAGTTAAGTCGCTACCAACTCTGATATATTTATTTCATGGATAAACAGACTTGAACATTCAGCTGTCAAATAGACTTTTAAAGGATCTTTAAAAATAACTTCTTTCTTTGGTAAAATTTTCCAGTGAGTTCGTCTTAGAAATCTTTTTACCAGAATGCCATAATGTTACCTTTTACTTTTTTTTTTTTTTTTTTTAACTATACACCTTTCATCTCTTGCTCTCGGGACATTTTATGGCTACTGACTAGTAAAGCATTTCAGTACACCTTTAGTCAACACATGTCATTCTCCCCATTTTACAGATGGGGGAAACTGAGGCTGAAAGAAGTGATATAATCAAGGTTATTCGGGAAGCTGGATAGATGGAAATAGATACCACAACTTTGACCTTAAGTTATAGATATAATAACAAGCTTACAACACAATGAAGTTATATGAAACTTTCACAAGAACTTTAGGATTGTTTTCGCCCTCCTTGCTGATCATCCCCATGGTATTTAACTAGAAGTAGAAGCCGTATCTTCTCCTTTTCCTTTATGCAAAATGGCATTGAAGTCCCCCAAAGAAATTATTATAATTTAACTCCACAGTTACATTTTGCTTTATCTCTGATGCATCAGAGTCTTAATTAGCGCAACTCTGTAATGATAATCAAGTCTAGAAAAAAGTGAAACTGAAAATTACTTTGAGCACGTGTTAAAAATAGGCAACACACTGCTCCCTGGTGGTGCCCTGCTTCTCTGTATAAAATTTAGAACCAAAATTAAAAGTAAGCTTTAGCTTTACTTCAGCCTCATCCCAGTGTGTGAGGCTGTAATGAATTTTCTTTGTCAAAGCCCTAATCGTTTGAAGGGAGATGAGGATGCCTGATTTGAAATAGGAAGCAAAATATCTTACAAGGGCAGTTTTGAGACTTGAGGGGGTTGGCGAGTTAAATTTTACAGATAGAGTGATAGGAAGAAGGTACTAGAATGTCATGACCATGGTGGAATAGGAAGGAATTTTGAAATATGAAGTGGTTGTGAAGAAGGGAGAGGGCCAGTGATCCGCTACCCGTTTTTCACTGGGTCGCTGACAAGAGTGTATGTTTCTAGCTTATAAATGAGCAGCTAGAAGCACCAAGACATTAGGAAATTTTCTTTGCAGTCATAGTAAAAAACATAGCCAATGTTAGTGTTTACGTATTTTTAGCTTCTGTCATTTGGTAAGCTGCAAATCTTGCAAAAGGACAAGATTCTGATCCTGTGGGACTCCAGGGTGATTGTATCCTAATGGGAAAGTCATTTCCTTCAGTCCATCTTTCTTGTTGAAGGAGAACTTCAGTGCCAGAGAATTAAAAGTCCATCAGACTCCTGTACGTAGGGATCTGAACTTGCCGTTAGATGTCAGTCTTAACTTTTAGAGTCTGGTAAAAGGGTGGCTGGTGCTTGGTACAGTACTGAGGGAGGGGCTGTGGTATGTAATAAGCAGGGTGGGGTGATGGAAAGTGAGCTGGACTAGCCATCTGTAGATCTGTCTTCCGCCACCACGGACCAGCTGTGTGATCTCGGACAGTTCACTCTACTTTCAACCTCAGGGTTTTTGTTTGTTGATGGGGTAAATACAGTAGGCTCCTGACGATAGTATGCAAAAACTACTTTGTAAAGTCTAAATGCCATATATTTGGAAAATATTGGTGTTTCAGCCATAAAAGGCTTTCAGTAAGAAATTATTTCTAATTTGATTTGAAAAAGTAGTTTTTAGGTAAAATACAGTGTTAACCAAAATGAACTTGGTTATTGAAAAGTTCAATTGTATGTTATCTGGCTCCTTCCCCTCAGAGCAAGCAATTCATCAATTTGGAATTTGGAAAATTCTTTTATTCTTCTTCTAGTAAATAATAACCTGTTACAGTGGCTTCATAGGTGCTCTGGCCCATGTGTTTGCTAGTGGGGGTGCAGACTCAAAGTGGGGGCAGCTCTGCCCTTCTCTCTCAACTTGGGCCGTGAAACCTTCAAGGCGGCTTCATCAGAAGCAGCTTTGTGTTCAGTAATTACTTCAAATGCTTTTTAATTCCTCATACCTGTGATTATTTCCTGACTTCCAATTCCTATTTTGTGTTTGTGTCTGCCCGTCCTTCCTTCCTTCCTTCCTTCCTTCCTTCCTTCCTTCCTTCCTTCCTTTTAAATCCAGTAGGGTTAATGTTTCCTTCCCCTGCTTCCCTTTTTTTGGTAAGATAGTTCTGGATAAATTTATTCATTCTTTTTTTTTTTAAAGATTTTATTTATTTATTTGAGAGAGAGAATGAGATAGAGAGAGCAGGAGAGTGGGGAGGGTCAGGGGGAGAAGCAGACTCCCTGCTGAGCAGGGAGCCCGATGTGGGACTCGATCCCGGGACTCCAGGATCATGACCTGAGCCGAAGGCAGTCGCTTAACCAACTGAGCCACCCAGGCGCCCAAATTTATTCATTCTATTGTTTTAATGTTTCTAATTGGTTGTTTTGTTTTGTCTTTACTAATTCCCTTCCTTCTGCTTTTGCTAGCTTTATTTTTTTCCTCCCAGTCTCTTAAGTGGGATACTTACTTTCATTCTCTCTTGTCACTGGATTTAAAGCTACGAATTTTCCTCCCAGTATTACTTTCATTATATCCCATAAACTCTGATGTATCTTTACATTGCTTTTCCGGGTAAGGTGTTAAGAGACCTGCGACTACATAAGGAACACAGATTTTTTAATGATTTGTGTTTTGGAAGATGAGTATAAAAAATTGAAATCCTTGGGTCCGTTTTTGAAAAATCATTTTATTTTGTCTATAATTTCAACTGCTTACCCCATTAAAGCTTTTAGTGGCATTTTTCCTAAAACTTTTAATTCAAATGTGTTTTTTTAATTTATTCATTCAAAAACATTTTATTAAGCTCTTAGGAATGTTCCAGGCTTTGGTACTAAGCCATGGGGATGATATAAGACATAGTCCTTGGCATGAAATAACTCACAGTCTGGTAAGGGTGACAGCCACATAAACACATGATAGTACTAGCATGGAATATGCACGAAAGAGATATTTCTAGGGAATGACAGAAGTATCAAAAGGGGTAATACCTAACCCAGCCTGTGTATGGGAGTGAGAAGGCCAGAGCAGCCTTCTTGGAAGAGATTCTATCGAAACTAAATCTGAAATGTAGGCAAGTGGATGGCAGGAGAAGGGTGAGAGCAGGTTCCAGAATAACAGCTAGCCTGTATGTGTGTAAGGAAACAGTAGGCTGGTTAGTGGTATTGGAGGATAGGGAATCAGCAGAGAGCAGCTAGGATGGAAGCTGAAAGAGAAGACATAGGCTGTTTAAGGAAAGCTTTCTCTGTGAAGGAACTCACCTTCATCTCATAGATGACGGGGGGGCGGGGAGGGGGGCTGAGAGATGCACTTGGCTTTGCCTTTTAGCTTGGTCACTCAGGTAGCTGGAGGAGGGTGGGTTGGAGGGTGAGGCAGTGTCACCCCGTTTCCTTCCTGCTCACTCGTGAAGAAGATGCACAGGGAGCTAGCCAGAAGTAAAGAAGCAAAGTACTCTGACAACCCCAAAACATTACAGTAAAACTTGGAGGTACCCAGAATTTACATTAGAGGCTAAATTGTTATGGATTTGCATGGCTAAGAACAGAACCTCATTTAGCCTGTGATGACTTTCACTACTTCTGTTACGATTTAACTTTCTTTATGGCCTACAAAACATGAGAATATCAAACTTCCCTTGCCACACGGAGGGGCCACAATAGCGACTTCAGCAGTGTTCGTGCCGGCATGCAGACGCTCGGAATAATGCTTGAAAGAGATACATGTTCTTAGTGGGGGTTATTCAACAAGTACCCTACAAAGCTGAGCAGAGAGCAGGTCAAATTTAGTTTCCCCTTGGCACACGAGAGGCTGGCTGTCCTTTGGGGAGGGGGTTCTTTGGAAGTCAGCGTATGCATCCCTGAAAGCAGGGTTTTCTGGGAGCATCTTTCGTGCTGTGGTAGCTGACAGGGCGCTGGAGTCGAGCTTCAGTCTCACTGTCTCGGTGCCGGGAGAGGTGCGCGTTACCACTGCAGCCCTCTGCACAGACGTTGCCCTTTGTGGTTACTGTTGTTAGTGAGCAGAAGAATGTGGCCAAGGAGCCCAGCTCTGTGGTGAGGAGTGGGAGGCCGCGACTCACAGGGAGCACCGGCCCTCTCTGTGCGGGCGAGTGTGAGATTTCAGGACCCAGCTATCATTAGGAGCAGCTCCAGCTCTTCCAGCCTGGGAGTTTAATCAAAGGAATAACAGCAGACCACCCAGGCGAGGGCTCCGAGGCGGACGAATGTGCTGTGTCAGTCTCTTTCCCCCAGCCAGCCAGTGCCCGGGATGTGGCCAGGCCTCCTGGAAATGTGCTGACAGATACATAGGAGGGAGGAGACACTTTCTGCTTCTCACATTTTTCATATAGATGGAGAGTGGAAAAGAAAACCATTCCATTTCTTTCATTTTTTGCTCCTTACCCTGGTACTTCTCTAGAGCAGTTCTAGAGAAGGGTATATGCTCACGTGTAGAATGTTTGGTTTCCACCAGCTGCTCATTCCTCTCACTCATTCATATATGGAGGAATTCTCTATCATTTCTTCTGCTTCAGAAGCTGCCAAGGCGGACCTTGAGTGAGTCTTACTTTCAGAATTTCCACTTTGAAGGTGAAACTGGCAGAGAGGGAGCTGAATTTCTGAAATGATGACGAATGTTCTCCAGAACTGAGGCGGATGGCACCCAGCTTATCCCATGCTTGGATGTTTGGGAACTCTCCTCCTGCCTCCTTAGCATGCCC